TGAAGAAGAAAGTCTTCTTGCATTGCAGTTAAGAGGAAATTCATCCATGTCCTGCGTAGCAAATGAGCAACGGGATCTTCTTTCTTGTTGTGACGAAAAGCAAAATCGTCATCATTCTACGTAGTAAGCGAGCAATGAGATCTTTTTTTGCATTGCAGAAATGACGACAACTGGAGAACCTTGTTCCGCCAAAAAACAATAGAAGGGTCAGAACTTGGAGGATGTGGCGTCAATTCTGATGGAGAGCGAGTTGATTTTGTTTCAAAAGAAGTGTTACTTCCCGAATGATATGGTGGTAAAATTACCGACTTTAACCGATCGCGCATATTCTCCTCCTAGGTATATTGTTGTTCATGAGGTAGCTTTACCGACTTTAACCGATCGCGCATATTCTCCTCCTTCTAGGTATATTATTGTTCATGAGGTAGCTTTGAGAGCTGCTGGCCTATGATTTCCATCGACACCTATGGAGGCGTTCAGAGTTTGTGTTTCTCAGTTGTTTTGTCGGGTGGTGACAGTCATTATCGGGTTGACTGTTTTCTTCATGAGTCATGGGTTGACGTTAAAGCCGACAATTTTAGTGAGGTTATGTGGGCTCTTTAATGACACGCATGATCGTGTGATGTTTAAGCATAATACATTAAATTTTTGCTTGAAGAAACTGGTAAGGTAATGGTCTGTGAGATTCTTCTTTGCCTTCGTGAGAGGCGATGAATGTTCCAACAGTACAATTGTCTGCCTCTCTTCTGACTGCTGATGATGGAATACTCCAGATGTTAGAATTTTTTGACGTTAAGGAGATGTTGTTCGAGACATAATAAATTCATGAATTTGTGGGCGAGGAATTATTGTTCATGGCCAAACTTTCATCCCCCCATATCGAACGATCCATGGCTATAATATTAAAAAGATTTAAGAAGGGACATTCCGAGCGAGCCCCCATAGTATCCTTAAAGCGGCTCCCAATGAATGGTGACTGTAAAGTACTTCCTCAGAGACAACAAAAGAGTGTTAAAGAATTGCGAAAGTCTCTGCTCAGTCCTTCGACTATTCATATTTCTTAGAATGTGTAGTCTCATGAATTCTTGGAGCCTGTGAGCTTTGTATGTTTCTTTTATCTTTTTCTACTGTATAATCATTTCATCTATCTAACTCAGACTTCTTTTCTTCTAGATGGATAATATGGTGGGAATTCACATGGGGCTAGGACTACTCTGAGGAACTGGAACTCCAAAGTTGTTAAGGTTAAAAATCTCTAAGGCTGACAAAGTGTAGGACATAACTCTCAACAATGACAACTTTTTTCTCGTTGCAGCTTCAAGATCTGAGAGAACTCGAAGGCATTGGTGGAGGCAAGAGCCGATCTTAGTGAAAGTAATAAGAGCGTGAAAGCCCTTGAGTTGACGGTGTTAGACCAGGAGGAAGGGATCCAAATTTTGAGGTCTGTGAAGGATGTTGATGCTGCAGAGGTTAAGCACAAAACGGTCGAGGACTTCAAGAACTCGCTTGACTCCAAGACTATCATACGAGGTCATGTCTAAGAGGCTCATGACCGAGTACTTCATGTTGAGGCAAAGGAGCAACAAAAGCGGTTTACTGTGGAATGATTCATCCAAGGTTTTCTAAAGGGAAGTCAAGCGACGTAACGTCAAACCTGGATTGTCGTGGAGGGGCTAACTCCCAACCAAAATTCAGAGGATCCTCCTGAAGTATTTAGGTCTTCGAGATGAAGCATTTAGGTCAATCCAAGATAATCCTCGGAATGAGAATCAGCAGACAAGAGTGCAAGAACACTGAAGTATTTAGGTCTTCGAGATGAAGCATTTAGGTCAATCCAAGATAATCCTCGGAATGAGAATCAGCAGACAAGAGTGCAAGAACACTGAAGTATTTAGGTCTTCGAGATGAAGCATTTAGGTCAATCCAAGATAATCCTCGGAATGAGAATCAGCAGACAAGAGTGCAAGAACACTGAAGTATTTAGGTCTTCGAGATGAAGCATTTAGGTCAATCCAAGATAATCCTCGGAATGAGAATCAGCAGACAAGAGTGCAAGAACACTGAAGTATTTAGGTCTTCGAGATGAAGCATTTAGGTCAATCCAAGATAATCCTCGGAATGAGAATCAGCAGACAAGAGTGCAAGAACACTGAAGTATTTAGGTCTTCGAGATGAAGCATTTAGGTCAATCCAAGATAATCCTCGGAATGAGAATCAGCAGACAAGAGTGCAAGAACACTGAAGTATTTAGGTCTTCGAGATGAAGCATTTAGGTCAATCCAAGATAATCCTCGGAATGAGAATCAGCAGACAAGAGTGCAAGAACACTGAAGTATTTAGGTCTTCGAGATGAAGCATTTAGGTCAATCCAAGATAATCCTCGGAATGAGAATCAGCAGACAAGAGTGCAAGAACACTGAAGTATTTAGGTCTTCGAGATGAAGCATTTAGGTCAATCCAAGATAATCCTCGGAATGAGAATCAGCAGACAAGAGTGCAAGAACACTGAAGTATTTAGGTCTTCGAGATGAAGCATTTAGGTCAATCCAAGATAATCCTCGGAATGAGAATCAGCAGACAAGAGTGCAAGAACACTGAAGTATTTAGGTCTTCGAGATGAAGCATTTAGGTCAATCCAAGATAATCCTCGGAATGAGAATCAGCAGACAAGAGTGCAAGAACACTGAAGTATTTAGGTCTTCGAGATGAAGCATTTAGGTCAATCCAAGATAATCCTCGGAATGAGAATCAGCAGACAAGAGTGCAAGAACACTGAAGTATTTAGGTCTTCGAGATGAAGCATTTAGGTCAATCCAAGATAATCCTCAGAATGAGAATCAGCAGACAAGAGTGCAAGAACACTGAAGTTGTTTCAGGCGATGTATGTTAAGAAGATATTACAGAGGTTCAACATGAGTGAGGCAAGTCACTTCAAACTATCTAAGGAGCTATCGCCTAACTCCGAAGCAAAGGAAACACAAATGAGAGAACTTCATATACTTCAACAGCTAGAAGTCTGGTGTATGCTATGATTTGTACCAGATAAAATTTCTCATATGCACTGGGATGGTCGACAGGTACATGGGAAATACATGCAAGTATCATCAGAAGGCGGTGAAACAGATTCTTAGATATTTGATGGGAATAATCAGCAGGTCACTTTGCTATGAAAATGCAAGGAACAGTCTATATAAATTTGTAGATTCAGATTTGACAGGAGATTTATAAGATAAAAGAGCATAACAAGGTATATCTTCACTTTGGGAAACACTTGGTGAGTTGGGTCTTCAAGCTACAGAAGATTATTACACTTTCAACTATGGTGGCTAAAAACATTGTTATCGTTGAGACTAGCTAGGACATGATTTGATTATAGAGCTTTATGGTAGAATTGGGCAGGGAGCTGGGGTTTGAAAAGCTTCATAGTGATAGTAAGAACACAATTCATCTTCATAAGAATGTTATTTTTTATGCCAGGATAAAGCACATTTAACTGGGGTATTATTTATGTGCTCTCCTAGAAGATGAGCTGTTATTCTTGGAGAAGATACACACAACTCAGAATCCTACAAACATATTGATAAAGTTGGTGACTATCGAGAAACTGGAGTTATGTTTGGCTGCAGTTGAAGTCCATGAAGCTTGAGACCGGGGTGAGCCACTCCACGATATATGACTATGAAGATGATACATAATGAGATACATATCTAAATATAGCTTTTGGGTGCTTTCAGTCTCCAAGTGAGAGATTGTTGAGGTGTGGAGCTTGAAAGAGCACCCACAGCCGCAAAGAAGCTGAACAAGAAACATATTTATTTCCAGTGCAGTGCACCCGCTTGGATGTTGTGTCCTCACCTATGCACACCTACACCCACATGAGAACTCCCATTGTGAGGCCTACAGTGTCCCCCGCGTCTTCTATTGGCACTTATACGCTCAGTTACAGAGGAGGGTGCGACATTCTAGCACCAGATAGTAGTGTCGGGGCACAATGTGCAGTCACTTTCTCGTTTCAATTTAAATTCTTTATTCTAGCGACAGAGCTGTAGACTCACATGTGCAATTCTTTCGACAAATGTTCATGAAGGAGAGAAGTGTAAACCAGGAGGATTTCAATGTATTTTTCTCTTGTGAGATCGAAGGGTTTTGAGCAAAGTGTTTCTGTTTTAATTTTTGTTCTGTTTTTTTATCAAATTGTTGTGATACTGTTATTCCACGGTCTTGTTTATTTTCTAATTGATCCTAAGCTCAGGTTTTGTTCGGAATTGTTCATTGTGGATGCCTAATACCTTGTAACACTTTATCAAAATAATTAAGCATATTCTATTAATCTTATTCCAACAAATTCAATTCTTAAGAAACCAAACAATACTTCTATCTCTTGAAAAAAAAATCTTCAATGCTACTAAAATAGCTTGAAAAATCTTTAAGATTGTGCGCTACCGAATGTAATTATGAACTTCATAACAATTAACTTGAATATTCTTAGTATCATAACTTAATTGACTTAGTATATATTGGATTTTTTATTATTATGCTAATTGACCCAATTAATATGTAAAATTCCAGCTTATTTTCTTAATCAAGCCTTAATCATGCCTCAATGATAAGGTGGTTTCTGATGTAAATCTGTGATAAAATGCACAAAATTGCGTACACTTTCTAATTGGCACTTGCCAAACCTTTAAGTTAGGCAAACGTTTCTTTTGATGAAAAAATAAAAATAAAAATACTAAAAAATGGACACAAATGATAATTCAGTAGTCATTTCATTGAAGTAATTCAGCACCCGAAAAGGCCTGCATCTTGTATATTATTGCATTGCTGTTCTTCGTAAAATAGTTTTGGGCGTGGAGATGAAACTCTAACCAGATATGGATTGAGTTTTCTGATAAATTTCAGTTATACCAAGTACCTCTGCAGTCCTAACCTTGCTTTTTTTTGTTTTCCATATACAACAAGTCTGCTCATTATTAGTCTTTTTCTTTCTTGTTGTGCAGTCTATTGGCTCTTTACAGAAGAAGTATTCAATTGGCTCTTTTGAACTGCTTAGCAAAACAGCTTCAATACAGGCTCTTTCCCTTTTAATTCTTGGTCCCTTCATTGATTACTCTCTCAATGGCAAATTCATTTTCGAATACAAGTTCTCCTCAGGCTCCATTGTAAGTTCTCAAGCTGACTTTTCCTTTTTCTCCATTTCTGTGCTGAAAGGGTGATTTTAGCAGGGGTGTGTATCATCATATATAAGAAATATATATCTATAAAGAGAGAAGTTCAAAATGGTGTTGAAACTCTTTGTAAGAGGTCATCTTTGTGGAAAAATTTTCTATAAAGACTCTGGACGTAGCTTTACATGCAGACTCCTAGTAATATACCGCTATGTGTGCTATATCAGGCCCACCTAAAAAAATATTAAAATGGAACCGCGGACTTAAGGAGGTTATTTCGGGGTTATTTTTGTGTTATTTCAGGGTTATTGAAGAGAAATTTATATATTTCACATCAATAACCTCGAATAACCTCCGCGATGTTATTTCGGGATTACTAAAGTGGAACCACGAATTATTTCGGGGTTATTAAAGTCGAATATATGTGTTTTTCTTCAATAATCCCGAAATAACATTCGCGGTTCCGATTCAATAACTCTGAAATAACCTCCACGATGTAGCACACGTGGCGTCATATTATTGAAGTACGCACTTAGAGCTACGTCTGGAGTCTGGACAGAAAATTTTTCCCATCTTTGTCACAAAGTTTATATAAGTGTCATATTAGTCCTCAGACTCTTTCAAAAGGAGCTGAAACCATCCCCCTTTGCAAATGTATTTCAGCGCATATTAAAAGAAAATGGAGACTAATTTTGAGTAGTAAGGGGATCATTTTGAGATTTTTTCCAACTATAATAGCGTTTTTATTTGTTGTTTTAAATAGTAAACATGTAGCACATACTCTAAACCTCATTAATGCTTTGTACAGCTCTTCACTCTTCTCTCATGCACCCTGGCAGTCTTCTGCAACATAAGCCAATACCTCTGCATCGGCCGTTTCTCAGCCGTGTCATTCCAAGTTCTTGGCCACATGAAAACTGTTTGTGTGCTTATTCTTGGCTGGCTATTATTCGATTCACAACTCACTCTGAAAAACATATTGGGAATGGCTCTCGCGGTCATCGGCATGGTTGTGTATAGCTGGGCCATTGAACTGGAGAAGCAGCAATATTCTAATTCTAGCTTTGCTTTGGCTAAATCAAGCCTCACCGAAGAGGAGATTCGTCTCTTGAGGGAGGAAGTGGAGAAGTCAAATACCAAGGATGTGGAGCTTGGTGAGGCAAAGCTGTAATGGTAGCAGACTATTTGTTCGGTAAATTTGTGTTGAAGCTCGATTATATGCCGCGTGCTGTGGAGAGATGTAAATATTTTATATTTTTATATGATTTCTGATTTTTAGTCTATGCAACCAGTTTGAGACCTTGTGATTCATTTCTTTTGTACGTGATTTCTAATCTAAACCGTGAGTTCTTGTGTGTGGGTTTGTTTTTCAGGTTTGGTAAGATGAAAGAGAAAAGTCTATGCAAATTAGGACTCTTGAGAAACATTCAAATACAAAAAATGTAATCTAATTATAGTATTATAAAACACTTATGCAAACCTTCATGATATTCTCATATCAAACAAAACTCTGGAGTTAGAGGAAATATTACGTATGGATGAGCAGGAGTGAATTGGTGGTATTATAGTAGTATTGTGATAAATATCAACACGACATTATCAAATCCGGACATATCCTTACGTATCCTGTCTGCACGTAATATTTCTTCCTGGAGTTGGGTTTTCATTTTAACCAGCTTTTAGTTTTAATTTTAAAAGTTATACTTTCATTTGTCTTTCGTATAAAACATTCGTGATATATTGTACTTAAATATTTTCTTGTATCCTTTAATAATATTAAATGATAGTGATTAACATCATACTTTTTAAAATTATATCATATATTTAATTTTTGTTTTGGTAGTTCTAATGTTTTTATTTTTTGAATATTTTCTTAAATATTTTTTTTTTCACTTAGTTTGAAGAATGTCTTATTATTTACAAGTATCTGAAAAAAAATACACCAAGGTCCATCATTTTAAATATTTTTTAAGCATCTTTATGTCCAAAAAGGTTAAAATGGATTATGTTAGTTTTTTATGTAAAATTCTTAGTGATTAGAAACTCTTAGCATATGCATTTTAATAAAAAGTCATAACATTAATTCTCTAAAACTCTATATATTTCAATTAGTATTGTTGACTTTTTTTTTTATTCAACAAAACCCCAGGAAAAGAGGAGAGCCAATAAAAGAGGCAGAATAGAAGATAAGTTTTATTAAACTTCATAGTCTTAATTAAATCCAGAGTAAACAACACATGCATATATATAAAAAATGTAATGACATAATGGTAAATAGACAGCTCTACTTATTTCTTTTTTATTATCTATTTTAACAGAAGGCCCTAGGGTATAAGAGGTGAATCACAAGGGAAGGAAAAACCACAGAGCAAGAAGTGCACAATAGCTTCGTTTGGCTGATGCTCAGGTACACTCCATCTGAGGTCCAGATGGTCAGCTTGGAGTTGAGTTTCTGATGATGTGAAGTGGAGAGGGTTTTTGTTAGGATGTCGGCAAGTTGATCTTCTGATATAATATGATGGAGTGAGATGTGCAATAGCTTAAGGTGATCTTGTATAAAATGGTAGTCCACTTTGATGTGCTTTTTTTTCAAGCATAAAAATCGCAGGGGTGAGTGCAATAGCTGATGTTGAGTCGTGTAGATGATAATAGAGGAAGCTAGCCGTTGTGGATGATAGTAGAGGAAGTTGGGAGAGTGGTAAGCTCTTGTAGAAGATGACAGAGCTAAATGACCTCAGTTGTCCTTGTGGCATAAAAATTGCAGGGGTGAGTGCAATAGCTGATGTTGAGTCGTGTTGATGATAATAGAGGAAGCTAGTCGTTGTGGATGATAGTTAAGGAAGTTGGGAGAGTGGTAAGCTCTTGTAGAAGATGGCAGAGCTAAATGACCTCAGTTGTTGTTGTGGCAAAGGACATGTATTCTTCTTCAGTGGATGATTTTGCAATGGTGGGCTACTTCTTAGTCGACCATGAGATGAGGGTGTTGTCGAGATAAATACGAAATCCTGAAGTAGATTTTTGGTATGTGTGGTCGGCTGCCCAAATGACATTTGCATGTGCATAGAGAGTAGTGGGACCTGGCTCAATTGTCAGACTGTGAGTAGAAATATCTTTTAGATAGCGTAGTAAATGCCTTAAGTGTCGATTGTGAAGAGTGTTGGGATTGTGCATGTGTTGGCTAAGAAAATTAACAATGAATGTGATGTTTGGTCGTGTGACCATGAGATACTGAAGTAAGCCAACTATTTTGCTGAACTCATGAGGGTCAGGAAGAGAAGTTGGAGTGATGTCATGAAGATATGGTTGTGTAGGAAGGGGTGAGAGAACTGGCTTTGATTGAAACATTCCAGTGTGAGTGAGAAGATCGGTAATATAGGTTGAATGATGAATGATGTAATCAATAGATGTGGAGGAGATTTGTAATCCTAGAAAATTTGATATGTTCTCAAGTTGTTCGAGGTTGAACTTTTGGCTGAGGTGATGAATGGGAGATTGTATGACAGTAGAGGAATTTCCGGTGATGAGAATATCATCAACGTAAATGAGGAGATAAATCAGAATATTATGATGATAAAGTAATAAAGAGAGGTCAATAGTGCTTAATTTGAATTTTTGTGTGTGAGAATTTGGAAAAAGCGGAGTGCAGCTGTATGGGTGTTTGTTTGAGACCATAAATGGCTTTGTGGAGTTTGCAAACGTGAGTGGGAGAGTATCGATAAATCCTGGGGGTTGTTTCATAAAGACTACATCATCCAATTTGTCGTAAAGAAAGGCATTCAAAACATCAAGTTGCTGAATTTGCCATTTTCCCTTGGTGGCAATGGTGACGAGCATTCAAATAGTTAGAAATTTAGCAACGGGACAAAATGTCTCGTGATAATCAATTTCGTACTATTGAGAGCAACCATGAGTAATGAAATGAGCTTTATATCTAGCTATAGAGCCATTGGTGTGGTATTGGATTTTAAATGTCCATTTACAACCTAAGATGTGTTGATTGGGAGGAGGGGAACGAGAGACCATTTGTCTTGTTGTTGCAAGGTTGGGAACTTTTTAGACATTGCTTTTCTCCACTGTGATTGAGTCATGGCTTGGGTAAAAGTGTTGGGTGCGTCGATGAGGGTGAGCTTTTAAAGGTTGAGGAATTGAATGAGTTTTAAGGAATTGGTGAGCGAGTGGTCATGGGATGAGAAGAGGGGTGGGATGGAGGAATGAGTTGTTGTGATACAGTGGGGGGTGATTGAATAGAAGTGTATTGCTCGAGTGAGGGAGGTTGAGGAATCATAGAGGTGGTATGGGTTTAAAGTAAGATTGTTGTGGAGAAGGGAATTGAGGGTGGAGTGCACATGGTGGAGGTGGGAAGTGTGAAGGATGAGGGAATGGGGCGAGTTGGTTCTTCAGGTATATTTGGTTTCAATAAACGTAACGTGGCAAGAAATGATAGGCTTATTTGTGCTAATATCAAGACACTTATAGTTTTTTTTATGATGGTTGTAGCCAATAAAGAGGCATGTGGGAGTCTTCGGGCTAAATTTGTTGGAGGCAAGTAGTTCTTGCCATGGAAAACAGACACATCCAAAGATTTTAAGGTGTTGATATTCAGGTTTGATGTTGTGTAGAAGTTAAAAAGGTGATTTGTATCGAATAATGGAAGAGGGTAATTGATCGATGAGATAGTTTGCAGTGAGTAAGGTAGTGAGTAGGGGTCAATCCAAAATTGGGTTGTAAGTGTGTTGTGCTAAGAAGAATACAAGTTGTTTCTACAAGGTACCTGTTTTTTTCGGCTAGGCCATGTTTTTCAGGGTGTGAGGGCAGCTAAATTGATGAATAATACTGTGTTCTTGTAGGTAAGTAAGTTATGTGATTTGTATCCCCCGTCGTTGTCCAATCTGAGGCATTTGATGTTTTTGTTGTAATGATTCTTTATATATTTATGTAAATGTATGAAATGATAGGTGACTTTAGATTTGTGTTTTATGGGAATGCATCAGCAAAAGCCGAAATAAACATCAATGAATGTAACGTAATATATGTAGCCATCTAAAGAATAATAGGGAAATGAGCCCCAAACATCTAAATGTATCATTTCAAGCAATTAAAAGATAGTTTGTGACTTCTATTTTGCTAGAAATCATGAACGGTAGAGTAGTTTGGTGAATTCTGAAATTGAGGCTTTTGTTTTAAGATAGCCCTAAGAATCTTGTGATGTGGGTTTCCAAGCCACTGATGCCATGTGTTGGATGCGGTTGTGGTATAATAAAATGCTATAGTCTGGTAAAGCCTTTGGCTAGCAGGACCGGTTAGGAGTGTTTTATTGGTTTTGAGATCATGTATATGAACTCAATTAGGTGTAAAAGCAATCTGAAAATTATAATCACGAGTGAGCTTTTTTACAGAAACGAGATTATAAGAAATTTTGTGAGCACATAGTAGAGAAGATAGGAGGAGCTTATTGTCTGAGGTAAGATAATATACCCTTACCAATTTGTGAAATGTTTTTAATTTGCCCATTTCGAACAATTGCTTTCTCCGTTCCTTGATGTGGTGTAGGATGTTGCACGTTTTCAATATGTGGTATGATATGGGTCATTGCACCTGTATCGAGAATCCATTTTTGGGAAGGGTTTTGAATATTGGTGTTGAGATCTGTGGGAGAGGCTGGAAAACTTCGTTTGTGTAGCAAGTTTGTCCTATGCCAACAAGTGGCGGCTGTATGTCCACGTTTGTAGCAAAATTGACAGGTAACAGAGGGGTTCAGTTTGCGAGTAGATGTGGAAGTTGATTTTCTATCTAGAGCTGAAGTTTTGTTGTAGTTTCTTTGATTGGGTGCAGTCACTTTGTTATTGGTGGTGAAGAATACTGTGGCTGGATTTATTTTGTTGGCATGTGTAGCAAGATTGATTTCCTTGCTGAAGAGAAGAGAGTAGAATGCTTCGAGCTCGATTGGATGGATGGATGTCTTGAAGCCTTGGATGCTGGAAGGGAGACTATTTAGAATGTACAAAATAAGGTCTTCGGTGTTGATCTTGGGGCATGCAACTGTTATGTTATAGACCATCATTTAGACAGTGGTGAGGTATTGATTCATGATGTTATCGCCCATCGAGATTTGGTGGAGTTCATTCTTCAATAGAATGACTTGAGATCAATCCATGCCTTGAAATATTTTCTCTAATGAGAGCCAATTTTCAGCAATACAGTTTAAGTGAAGAACATGCGATGTAATAGCAAGGGAGACGATTGAAAGAATGGCAATCGCAAGGTTCTGATCCACTATGTGCCATAGAGTATATTCAACGATCTCTTCTTGGTTGTCGGCTTCAATGAGATCTTCATTTAGAATGAATCTTGTAGGGATGGGAGTGGTGGAATCTAAAAAAGATTCAAAACCATTTGTCGGGCAACTTTTTTTAATCCTTACCCTTTCATATGGGGTAATTTTCATATGTAAGTGGTTGATGAGTCTTAGTTCTCATGTGCTCCATCAAGAGCTTGAGAGAATTTGGAATACTAATTTCAATGATTCAATTTAGGGACATTGATATTGATAACGTGAGTGGGGGTGGGGTTGTTTATGATGTATCCATGATGCCAAATGAGGAAATCTTTGCAAAAAAGAAAAAAAAAAAGGAGTGGAACAAAGTTGAAGGGGAGGGGAGAAACTGCTCAGAAGGAATAGGAGAAAAAGGATCACTGTAGTTGATTGACTTGATGCTTTGATACCATGTTGAAGCCTATCTTCTTGATCAACACAAACACAGGGAAAAAAGGAGAGCCAGTAAAAGAGCCAGAAGAAAAGCTAAGTGTTATTATTCTTCTCAGTCTTAATTACTTCCAAAGTAAACACTACACGCTTATATATAGAAAATATAATGGCATAATGGTAAATAGACATCTCTACTTAGTTCCTTTATATTCTCTGTTTAACAAAGGCCCTAGGGCATAAGAGGTGAATCATAGAGGGAAGAGTAAGATGTGCACTATAGCTTCGTTCAACTGATGCTCGGGTGCGCTCCTTATTAAGTGTCTCATGTAAATCTTGTCGTATGCCAGAATTTATTTGTGATTGTCGATGGAGTTTACTGTTTTTAGCTGCATAGAAATCTTGTGTGTGTGTGTGTGTGTGTGCTTTGAGAATTATTACTTTTTGAAACATTTGCGGCGATATCGTGATAATTTAATATATTAGTATTGTATGAAGATTAAACACACACAATTAAACTAAAAATAACAAGTTGGGACATCAAGATTTTTACATAAAAAACCCCTAGAAAGAGAAAAAAATAATCGAGCCTAGCCCAATCAAAATAATCCATTATGTGTAAGTAGAGGGGTGTGCGCCCTTCTCCCGCAGTCGGAAGAACGATGTTATAATCTTACAATGATAATTACACTTGTCTTTATACAACACAAATAAAATATGTGTTAGTCTCAACAACAGTATTTGAATTATAATACTTCCAAGTAGGGCTCACCGACAACCAGTAATCTGTGGTGACAGACAGTGACGACTAGTTGAGATCGACGTGGTCGAGGGGTGGTGGTGGGCAGTGGTCGGCAACTACATAGGCGGGCGGTTATCATGGGGTGTACTTTCCAGAGCAAGCTCTAGGATTTCTTTTCTCCTCCTTCCTCTCACAAGTGAAGAGAGGAGACTATTTATTACCTTTTTGTGGATGGGTGTTTTGGTCTTTTAGTGCATAACTTCCCTAACAATCTATTAGGGCGGTCATTATTGATTCCCCTTGATTATTAATGATTTTTTTAATGATTTGAGTGCCTTAATGGCCTTATAATTTAGCGATCCTGAGCTTGTTGACTTTATTTCATTGAGACTCACTATTCAACTATAAATATATCAAATTTAAAAATCATTTGACCATTCAATTGATTATTCAAAGCCTCCAAATGTGCTTCAATAGCTTGATATTGGTTTGATTGGACCTGGATTGAATTGATTTTAGTATCATTGGGTTCTTCTCGTCGACACAACATTTTAACTATAAACTTGTTGAAACAAATGTCGGGATAATCTTAAATTTGATTTTGGAATATTTCCATCAAATATATCAATCGTGATCCGTGTTTGCTAAAAAATTTGTTAATGAGACCAAGAATGTTACATAACAGGGACAAATTTTAAAACAATATAGTTTCAGGGATCATTTAGTTAAGACGGTAGGATGGCTTATTTTTTAAAGAAGAGACCAAATTGTGCCAACAAAGCGCAACTTGTTCGCTTGGTGGGACCAAATTGTGCCACGTAAAAACACCTTGCTTAAAATAATTTGAAAATCCTAAACTATTAGTTATAGTCAACATATTTTTGTTAGTTTTGAGAGCATCATTGCACATTTTTGATAGTTAATGAAAGCTTAAATTTTACCTACAATGGTTTTTATAAGCCCCATTCAAGACAAATCCTCCTTGTTTCTCTTTTCCCCTATTTCTCCCATTTTAATTTCCATTTGAGTTTTGTTAAGAGTTAAGAGTAAGGCACTAATTATAAATACATTACGCTTTTTTTCTAAATAGTAGTAATTATATTAACAAAATTTTATTTATACAAAAAACAAAGTACATAACACCAAATTTATATATATATATATATATAGTTACATAGAGAGCATCCAAAACATTGACATTTACAAATTAAGCACATTGAACCACTGAGTCGATGCATTTACGCGTGTTATGATCAAATCATTGAGAATTTGATAAAAAATGAAATGTGAGGATTGACATTTTGTCATGAATTTTGATATTTCAGTGGGAATTTGAAAAATGGATGCAAGATAGTGTTTGATTCGTAAAAAAAAAAAAAAAAAGCTTTGGGTGCTTTGTAGTAATTGTCCCAAATTTATATATATAAAGGTGATTAATGAAACATATATTGCTTAGTAAAATTTTAACATAAAATAAATTAATCTGAACTCAAATAATTATGTTCTTATTGTTTAACAAAATTTTAACATAAAATAAATTTAATTATATATTGATTAAACTAAAATTAAATAAAATTCAAATTTAAATTTAATCGATGAAGTATTCATTCGTGAAAAAAAGGTTATAATTTCAGACTATTTTTTTCTCTTAGAATTATCTTTTTAAAAATAAATGCACTATTTTTACTAAAAAAATTATTATTAAAAAAATTACAATAAAATAAATTAAAATGGGGAATGTAAGAGAAAGAGAAGAGAAATGAGGGAGATTTTCTTGAATGAGGTTTTCATAATGCATCAAGGGTACTTAGAAACTATCATGCAAGGATTATTTTTAGATACTTGAGCTTTTAAAATATACTTCAAGGAAATGTGGCTAGTAGATTCCAACAAATAGTTTATGATTCTGGAATAATTCTAAGCAAGTTGTTCTTATGGGGGCACAATTTTATTTTAAGCAAGTAGGTTTTACTTGGCACAATTTAGTGTCATTTAAGCGAACAAGTTGCTCTCTGTTAACATGGTTCGATCTCATTTAAAAAGAAATTATTCATCTGAACGTTATGAATAATCTGCTGATAAGCTGATTAAAAATAATCTGCTGATAAGCTAGGTGCGGTAGCTATTACAAATTTTTATTCTTTTGGAAAAGCTAGACCGCAGCCAGAAAGCTGTCACCGCAACTAGACAGGTGCGGTGCGAAAACGATGTTTTCAGTGTTTTGAAAACGTATAAGCTGCCAAAAAGCATTTTACCCAAACAGGGCAAGTGCATTTTCAAAACCCCATCGCACCAAATAAGCTGCCCCAAATGGACCCTAAATCAGCCCTAAAACTAATCAGGTTTTTTATGCTTGGTGAGGGCAAAAATCTTACTCAAACTCCTACTTATGCTTATGAGATCTAAAAGTTATTGTTAGCCCTATTTGTTATCTTCTTTATCATATTTGGAGAGGCAAAAATGAAAAGAATTTTAGCTCCTTTTTTTTCTTATCTTGTTTCAAAATTTAATGTGTCATTAAATCTAATGTTTACAAATGAGAGATATTTGATGAAATTCAATGAATTAATTTTCAACAATAGGGTTTCTAACAATAAACCATGAGATTTACTCAATGTGCATTTTATTGCAAGCTCCATATTTTTAGAGAAAATGTGGTGTTTTCTCGCGCTTTTTGTGTTGTTGATTTTGTAATCTGGGTTATGACGGAATGGTATTTCAATTAGTGAAATTTTATATTTATATTTTCTTTTGAAAATAAATTAATTTTTTTTAAATAATCAAAATAATTTAAAATTATTATGAATGTTTTAAAAAATAATTTAATATATCAAATATATTTTATTTTATTAAATAATAAAACAAAATAAAAATTAATCTAAAATGCACTTAATTTTTTTTTTATTTTGTAAGGTTTTTTTTTATAGCCTCACATTAAAAAAAATAGGAAGATTTATATTTATACCACTCAATACCTATGTATTAATATATCTAAAATAAACTTCAATTTTTTCATGCATACCATATCTTCACGAAAAGTTATATTTCAAAATTTTTAAAGTTAAAAGTGATATTTTTATGTGATATGAAAATTTTAAATGATATAAATGTGAAAAAGAAAAATTTAGAAGTTAGTTGTGTAAATAAATTTGAATTGGGGTATGTATAAATAGGGACATTGCATGCAGAAATGTATACCGTGTCTAATTTTTATCGTTTATCACAACAAAGATGTATGATGGTGGACGAAAATATATGACGGTGGGGTCTATTTTGAATATATATTTTTTTAAATCGGCGTGATAGATGGTGGAGATGGCATGGAATAAATTTTCCAAATGTAAAGCTGTGAACTACCGTGCTCGTTATTCTTTTCCTTTCTACGCTCCGCCGCCCCGTTATTGCATTCTCCGCCGGCGACGGCGGCCTCTTCATCCGCCTCTCTTCGACCGACTTAGAGATCGCCATGGCCTCGGGAGACGGAGTCAGTGGCGACGAGTTGGCTGGCTCGCTCTTCGAAGGTATGGTCCTCTTCTCCCCCTCCGAGCTCCTCCCTTCATCCATACCACCAGAAAAAGAACCGGCTGCACTATCTCCATCTCAGGCTCAGATTCTTCCTCGCTCTCCTTCCCCGCCAACTGCACCCTCCACTTCGCCCCATTCGAAACCTCGACCCCTCGACGAAGATCTTTTCACCGATCTCTCCATCCAAACCCCCATCGAGCCTAAAGATTTCAGTAGCGTAATCTGCTCTTCTGCCAAAAAACCTTCTTCTGTCGTGCCATCTCGCCAAATCGCGCGCAAGAAGAAGCTGGGCTTCCGCATCGGTTACGGCCGCGAAGCAATTGATTCTGCGCCGGTGGTTTCCATCGACGATCCTACTCATTCAATTGAGGATGTCACTGGCGCTTTTGGTTCCGACTCCACTTTATCGACTGCGAGCTGTCAGGATGAGTTGCCGGATGGACCCGAACATGAAGATGCGGCTGTATCGGAAATGCTGCCATCTGTAAAATCTCCGAGTAATGGAGATGGGTTATCACCTTCACAACGTGGTGGTTCTGAAGGCGACTCTGAGGCATTGCCTTCAACCGCGGAGGCTTCCGAAAAGGACACCTGGGAATTAATAGAGGATAAATTGAATCTTCTCAGATCAAGTATTTCCACAAAAGTTGAGGGAATTCAAGAGAAGGCAACTTTGGCGTACTCTGAGAGGAAGGAACTTGAGAGGAGGCGAAGGAAGGCTGGACAGGACGTCAACCAGGCCTCAATGATGTATAAAGACTTAGAGAAGCAGCTTGAGGAGGCCTGTGAGGCCGAGGATTTTGAGAAGGCAGAGAGAGTCAGTGAATCTCTTGCAGCAGCAGAGAAGGAGAAGGATAGGCTGCTGAACACGTTGAGAGAGACGGAACTGGACTGTGATTATGCTGATTCAAGGATGCAGGAAGCTCTTAATTTGCAGATAGCTGCTGAGGAAGATGGAATAGAACTTCTTCAGCAATTTGCCAAGGTATGCCGGTTTATTTTCTTGAGGGATCTGAAATCCCTTATAATTATTACCATCATTTAGTTCGATTCTTATCAACTAAAACATTCTTAAGCATAACAAGCGGTCCAAGGGATAGCTTAATTGAAACGATTTCTATGGTTTGATAGATATTAACCTTAGTAAATTTAGTTTTATTTTTTATAAGGATAAATTTAATTTTATTTTTGATCTTTTCTTAATATGTAATAAATAAAGTAGTTTTGCATGTAATAAATTAATGAATAGAATTTGATAATGAATTTAGATTAGTGTTTCTTGTGGCCATCTCTCTGCAAAGTCTCTCCTTTTCTAGGGTTTATCCTCGTTGCTTCATCTCTACCCTCTGCCTTCCACCCTTACAGGTGTTCATTCATCCATATCTTCAACCTCCTTTTTCTATGAATCTCCTTTTCTCCTCTACCGGATCATTTTATGCTCCTATCTCATTTTTTTGTCTTTTTTTCACCTCCTCCTCTCTCATCTGTGCAGGCCAATAAATATTTTCAGTGCCAAACTCTCCTAAAAGGCTTCACATACTTGAGTGTATTCATAACACATCATATTTATAACTTTAGTATTATAGAAAAGTAACTTTCTCTCAAGTGGAGCAGTTTAATGCGAGATTGTTGCAGTTGTAATCCTATTGGGAGGCATAAAAATATCATAAAAATGCTCTGCTTCACTATGAAATATTCTGGCGCACTTAAGGAGATTAACTCACACGCGACGTTATGCTTCACATACTTCATGTTTTGGTGCCCAAAGTATGCTCATGAGCTAGAGTCGCGTGTCATTTTCGTTTCAGTAGTTAAGGGTATTTAGGGTGTAGTATGTTAGGTTTTATGGTTCCATTTCAGTTCATAAACACTGTGATTCTTCTCTCAATTATTCGTAGACACCCCATCTTTCACTATCCTTAGGTCTCCATTACCACATTGCAACCACATGAGCCACCTTGAACCATATCATAGTGGGGAGAAATTATTACTTCCGGATAAGATAAATCTGGATTAGGTGTGGGTGATAGTATTGGTAATATTGTGAGGGTATAATGGTAAAATATCCCCACAATACCACCAATACTACCACCAATACTATCATCCGCTACGATGAAATCGAGATGTAATAATTTCTCCATAGTAGGAGTCGAGAGACAAACAACCTTCCACAACACATTAGATTCATATCTTGTAATGTTTTTTTTATGGGTTAGATTTGTAATATTTGATTTTTTAAAACATTTTTTTTTTTTTTTTTTTTTTTTTTTTTTTTTTTTTTGAGTTATAAGCCAAGTCATGGTTGTTTGAAAATGAATTGTCTCCAATGAACATATCTGATCTTCCCTCCAAAGTACTATTGATTCTATAGTTTTCTTGCTAAAGAAAAGTATAGATCCAGAAGTTTCTTCTAAAAGAGGAAAGCACGCTTTGTTATAGAAGATTGAACTGTTTTCCAACACCATGAAAGTGAACTTTCTGGTTAATTTTTCCTGAAGGAAGAAGAGCATGTTTTTTTTTTTCGAGTATGCTCATTTTCTTAGTTTTCTTGTCTATATAATTGAGCATCTAGCAACCTAGTTTGTAATTTTCAACCCTACCTTTTGCAGGATGCTGCTGATCGAGCAGATCTAATTCATAGAAAAGCCAAGAAACTTTCTTCCAAAGATTTAGAGGATTGGCAAACATCAATGGAACTGTTAGAGATGAGCATGCTTGAGATGGATATTGAAGCAAAACTCATATCAGATGCACGCTCAACATTGGATAGTTACATTGATGACCTGGTTAGAGACAATAGAGAGGAGGTTGCGGGGCTTCTGAAGAAACGAGTTTCTCTAGCGAAGGAGTTGGAGAAGCTTCTGAATTTAGTTAGATTGAAGGAATCAGAGATTGCTGAGAATGAATCTCAGATCCATGAAGCAGAGAGAAATTTTTCAAGTTGTATCAGAGTTTCAAGAGAAAAGTTCTAGTGTTGACATTAAGCATGATAATTTTAAGTCTGCTATGTCTCGTATCGACGCAGAGCGAGAGGTCTTATCATCAAAAAGAAATGAAATTGATAAATTTATCAATTTAGAAAAGCAGAAGTGTTTTAATCTCCAAAAACATGGCAATGCTGCTTTGGAAGAAGCCAAAATATATCAGGATTTGGTTGGATTAAGAAAAGAATTAGCTTCATCCTTCATAAAGTCCAGAGAAGACAAATTGCAGTTGGTGAGTACAGAAGAGAGAATTCTAGAGGAAAGCCAGCTGCTCCGACAACATATATCCAGTGCAAGAACTAAACTACAGGTTGGTCCCTAGCAAAATCTTTGTTTTGTATTCCTGCCGCTCTTTTTTATAGATCCTTTAAAGCTTAAAAGAGTTCACATATCTTAAGACATTTTATTTTTTACAGGAACTTTCTTCCACCAGAGTAAGTATCCAGCAAGACATTGATTTATTTAAGCAGCGAATAGCTTTTGTTGATAAAAGAGGTCCCGAACTTGAAGCTGAGAAGAAAGTTGCTGCTGCTGCAAGAAATTTCAAGGAAGCTGGGCGGATAGCTGCTGAAGCGAAGGCACTGAACTCTGATAAGGAAATCATGCAGAATAAAATGGACAATGCTGTTCTAAATCTTGAAAAGTTAGATGAAGAAATTAAAAACAATATTAACACGATGCAGGAAAATGAAGAGCTTGTATTATTAAAGGAAAAGGAAGCAGCTGTTGCAAGTTATAAGAGACACGAGCTGATTGATGCTGCTGCAAGGTCTGAAAGATCAGCACCTCTTGAATTGGTTGACTCAGAAGAGGCTGAATTTTTATTGAAAGAAGCTGAAGCTGCAGAAGAAAGAGCAACGGAACTCGAAGGGTCATATAGCCTTAATTTGGAGGAGCAGGGGAGCTCCAGCAAATACTTTTCCCCTGTAGCACTCATCACTAAGTTTTCTGGACAAAACTTGGCAGAAATGGCCGCTTCTTTGAAAAAGCTTGTGGCGGATGAGCGATGAATGTACAAGTCTAGAAGAAAGTTCTTGCATTTTGCTTAAGGTAAATCTAGGGTGCAGCCAAATGATAATCGTCTTTGCAAAATTATACTATAGAATTACATCTCCAAGCTTAAATCTTCTTTTTGTTTTATGCATCCTTGTTTTGTTTTTCTTTTTTTCCACATTCTTTTGCGATTTTGGCTCTGAAATTTTATTTGTAGATGTGTACAAGTCTCTTAATAATAAACATTGTTAGGATCTAATTTGTGGAGTTGTTGGTGTGATACCTGAGATTTTGAGATGAATTCTATTCTTCACTGCCATCTTGTTCTCATTTGATAATAAAATTGGATTGCAGTCTCTTTTTTGGTTTATATCCAGAGCAGCTTTTGGTTTGGTTGTGCCTCTTTGACATGAAAAGATATTACATCAGCAAGGAAGATTTACATACATACTTAATTCATATGTATTTACATATCTATCACCTAAACTTCAATTTTTGCATTTCTATGCCAACTTACCTTTGTATAAAAAGGACTATTATTTCACTTTTTAAATATTAAAATAGTAGTATTTTTAGGTGATACTAAAATTTTAAATGATATTATGTAAATAGGGCCAAATGTTATATGTAAAAAAAAGTTTAGGTGCTAAATATGTAAATAGGGCCAAATGTTTCTTCAGCCAAACAGAAACAGAGCCAAATGTTTAAAAAATGTAAAAAGAACGTTTAGGTGCTAGCACCAAACCGAAACAGAGCCAAATGTTTCTTGCTACAAAGCCATATAAAAAAGATTCGAGACTGCCAAAGCAACGTCTTATAAATCCCTGCTTGCTTTCTTCATGGATCTGAATCAGGTGGTGTATTGCATACGGAAAATATATGTACGGTTGAAGGTGTACACGGAACTCCCGTTTCGCCTAATGTAATATTTTTATTCGTTTGGTAGGCTATTTTTAGGGGAAAAATTTGTGTACGTTTATATAAACTTTTACAATCTATCTGTAACCTACAAATAAGTTCTTAATATATGAAGTCAGAAGCGCAGAATTTATTTGTAGGTTATAGAATGTTACATTGAGGTTACAAAAAAATATAACGTGAATATAACTCCTTTATTCCCTATGTACGTCTTACGTATGCAAATTTTTTCTTATTTTTAGACAGATTACCGTGTGGTTTTAATGTAAATCCATAAAATGCAATTTCATCTTCCTTAGTTTCTTCTCCCCCGCTAAATCTAAAGTAACTCCTCAATTTATTAAGGTAGTATTTGGTAGCATACTATTAATAGGAATTACTCATAAATTTAATTCAATTCCAATCAACATCAATAAAATTAAAATTAAATTCAAAGCTTCCTTAAATTTAATTTTCAGTGTTCCATTTTTTTCTTCGGATTTAATGGAGACAGATTTATTATTCAGCCGCAGCCGACGAGCTCCTCCGGATTTGATTGATTTTGTTTACCGGATTTGATAAATCGTGTTTAAGGTAAATCTAGGTTGCGGACAAACACAGATTAAGGGAATGCCTTCCTTCATATCTCTTCCTTCATAGCTCGTCTCTTTCTTCTTAGCTCGTCGCACAAGAGAATAGTATATAGAAGGGAATTGCTTTCGTCGTCGCTCGCCGCACAGGAGAAGGTTGTTGCTGTCGTCGCTTGTACCCCATCGCCGGATTGATCTCCCTAAATTTTGGCTGTTGTGGCCTCTGTCGCACGTCGCCTCCATCCTGATCAATTGCAGCCAAATAGATATCTAATTTGTTCATTATAAAGATTCACCAGAAAGATCCGACCCATCTCAGCAAAAAACCCTCGGCTCCTTCTTCCCTGAATTTCTACGGCACTAAACCTCTTAACAGACCGAATCAAATCGACTTTCGTGTAAGTTCTTCATCATAAAAAGTTGATCTCATTAATCCTTAACTTAAGAATCACATGGAATGATGCAGCTGAGGCGGCTGGAGGAGAAGGAGAGGCTGCCGGAGAGTTATTTCGAAGCAGACCAGGGTGGGAGGAGCAACCAGTTGAACGCAGATATGGGTGATGTTCATCTCAGAGAAGCTCTCCTGGATCGCCTCAACTTGCTCGAGAACCGGATCCACCAGGTTCCTAATAAAGAAATGCTAGTTAATGGAAAAAATTGCATCAGAGATCCTGATAAAGGAAAAGATTATATTGTTTGCAGAAAAATAAAAAATTCAACTATTAGTTTATAGCACAGAGCAATTAGCCTATATATATATATACACACACACACCATTTTTTTTTATGTATGTATTTATTTGCATTTGAAGCTTCTGTTGGAAAAAACAAATTAGATGGGAAGCCGTTTGCAAAAAAGTATACACAGTGTCATACCATTTTATAAACATCATGAAATTTGACATTTTGTAAGCATTTATGAAAAACAAATACAAATGATGATAAAAACTTAATGCAGTTTCTATAGCATGACATTTTATTTAAGGTTAGGAAGATTTACATGCATGTCACTTAATTCCCAACTATTTAGACATGTAACATCTAAATTTTAATTTTTACATATTTACATTCCATCTTATCTATGCATAATTGTTTTTCAACAACAACAACAACATCAACAACAAAGTTTTAACCCCACTACGTGGGGTCGGCTACATGAATTGTTTTTCTCCATTGCGTCCTGTTTAGTGTCATATTTTCATTTAGCTCTAGTAAATTAAGATCATTTTTTATACAATGAGCCCAAGCCTTCCTAGATCTACCTCTGTCTTTCTAACACAAGTCGAATCTAAAACATCTACTCTCCTAATCGGATCATCAGATGGTCGACTTTTAATGTGACCAAACCATCTAAGACGGCTTTCTCCAATTTTGTCCATCACAGGAGCTACAAAATTGTTTTTCAATTTTTAAAAATAGTGATACTTTTCGTATGATATGAAAGATTTTTCAAATACATAACAATTGAATGGGTATGCATGTAAATGCCCCTTGAAGTTAATATTCTAACTCGTATATGCAATTTCTGTCCACTTGTTGGTTCTCAGCTGAGCCAGGAACTGGATGACGGTGGAAGATCCAGTGGTGGCGACCGCAATGCCACGGCAGCCGTTACATGTCCAGCCGAGAAACAGAGGCAGATGCCATACAACAGCAGCCGCAGAGAATCCGGATCCCCATTTCGCTCTGGTTCAAGCAATTATCAGAGCCAAGTGTCCCAAAAGAAGGTGCATTCTACTTCGACACCGAAAAGATTTATGAGAAGCATCTGCTCATACATTTTTTGTACCGATGATGATAGTTGTTGTTTGAAATCTCAATTATCGGATAACTGCGAAGGTCGCGGAGCCCACGCAGGCTGCTACCACTGAGGCCATGGATAAAAAAGCAGCTGCCTTCTCCCCCAACAAAAACAGGAGGATGGATCGTAGCCACCTCTACTAAAGATGGTTTCCTGCTGGCAGCTGATGGGCTATGGCCTCAGCTAGAGAGCGCTTCGTCTTTTGTTTTCAGCTTTGAGATCAATTAGCCTTTTTTATTTCATTGGACTTCATTCCCTGCTTGGCTAAGTTTATGACAAAATTTTAATTTCTCTTTCTGTGTGTGCTTAAAATTCTCTGAGGCTAAACAAGCTTCAGTACATGTGTCACTTTATTTGATTCTTTTCTTTGATGGAAGATGATTGATTCCTGATTACATGGTTTATTAACAAAGAAATTTTGTTGATCTATTTTTTTGGTACTCTTCTTATTGCTTTGTGTTGTGAAAAAACTTCATTTTTATTACATGGTTTATTTATCCAGACAAGGATTGTACCACTTTGTTTCAAGCACATCACAAATATTAAGCAGATGACCCGACTCATATATAATTGTGATGCCATACTCCTATATTTTTTATGTGCACAAACAAGTGACATAGATTAGGTTCGGCTGTGGAAAGCATGCCGAAGATCACTTGCCGGTGGAAAGCACGCCGGGGAGGCGTCGGTGGCGAAGGAGGAGCGCCGGTTCAGATACTTTCATCCACTTTCATGAATTTTTTCATTTTATAAGATTAAAATTTTATAAAATACTATGTAATATATTATTAAAATGTGTTGAATTTTAGTTTAATGGCGGCCGTCAGTGTGTAAGAAATTTATGAAAATTTTTCTCCACGTATGCCTTTGGAGGATGGTTTCAAGTTGCTATTGGTTAGTGCTTCTTGTAAACTATTTTGTTCATAAGAAAACTTATTAAAGACTCAAATGAATGATTTTGTCTGATGTTTTTCTTGTCATTGAAACGCAAATTTATCCATCTACTTCTAATAAACTGCCATTTACAAATCTAGCACATGTGAGATTTTTGTACTGACACTATACATTTTAATAATGTTTTTTTGTTTGTCAAGCCCTGACATATGTATTTCTTCACATATGAGATTGATTAAACTAAATTAATGAAATTAAAAATAATTATTGAATTATTAATATTGGTGTAAGAGTGATGCAGATTTTGTTAAAACTTGTCCCTCATAAGAGAACATGCCTTCAAAAAAATTTTCAGATGTGTTTAAAGTCTTTAAGTTTTAATACAATTCTATTATGTTATAAATGAATTTTATAATTGATGCGCTATCAATAAATTTTCATCATCCATCACGAATTTTGAGGCATGACACGAAATCTTGAGACAATCTTTTGAGCAAGAAACATTCAAACTTCAATTAAAAGTCATTCAGAGCACTGATTTCAGCGAGCTTATAGTCAAACTGACCGACTTGATGAGACAGACCTAATGATACCAAAGTTAGTCCAATCTGAATTAAATCAAGCCCAAATCAAGTAATTAAATCATTCTTAGAAGGTTTCCAGACATATTTGAAAGATCAATCGAATGTCAAATTTAGCGAGTTCATAGTTGAATCGAGCGTCTCGACAAGATAAATCCAACGAGACAGGATTGCTCAATTCTGACATCTATAAGACACTCAAATGTCTATCAAATGTCATTTGATCGAGGGAAGCTTTCTGAACCGTCCGATTAAAATGGTTCATATTCCTACATTAGTTACACCTATAACACTATAAATAGAGCCTCACCCATCACATGAGAGAAGAGGCTTGGGAGAGAACTTGAGACTTTGAGAATGAGCTTACCACCACAGATGTCGTCAGCCGTGTAGAAACAACACTGACACATGATGGAAATGCAAACAATGAATTAAACTCGATTTATATTAATATTTATATGATTGTCACGATAAAGTATCCAGAATATTGGAATAATAAGTGATTATATACTTATATATCCCCTTATCTTCCCGTTCGTTGGTCCTTTTATTTCCTCAAAATTACGAATGGCAACCCCGGCCATCGGTGAGGACGGCGGAAACAGAGCTGCGTTCACCGCGTAGAAACAACACTGAACATGGAGATGCAATCATCAACAGCCTGCTTTTCTCGCTTACTGCTTTTCTTTTTGGTCGAACTCGTTCCCTGAAAGATAGAGTAAGGGATCTAGCTCGAGGTCCATGGCTTCGGTAGAGGCTCCGGGCTGCTGTAGCACCATTTGGCGCCCTTCTGCTATAAAGCCAGCTTTCGAGATAAGCGAGAATCGCAAAAGAAGCAGCGGCTCCGCCCAAATCCTAGTATTACACCGTATCGCTCGCCGCCGAAGAGGAAGATTATGCTTGCACTTATTCTCTTCGCCTTTATTTTCTTCACCCCACATAAACTTCTTAAGCGGAAGTGGTAGAGGCATAACAATGGGAGTAGGACGAAGAGGTAGGCCGATGAACACGGCAGAAGATGAGGAGCAAGAAGGTAGGGGTTATGGCGGTGAGAGGGAGGAAGTGGACCCGAAAGATATAGCAGGTGGAAGAGAAGATGCGTGCGAGCTGGAGAAAGGATCCCGTGGAATAGTTTCCACCATCGAAGAAGCATTACCTACCAAGGATTTGGTGACGCTTGCTTCTTGCGTCGTCGGCCTCCTCACTGGCGTCGCGGTCGTCCTCTTTAATCAAATCGTGAGTGCTTTTATTTTTTTTCCACTGTTTGTATCTTAATTTTCTAGTTTGTTCTTTTCTCTTCAGCATTGCATTATCTGCATGCATTTGCAATCACTCATACCATTTCTTCCCACCATGAAGATTCGAAGCCCATCCCTGTCTAGAGTATTTGTTTTCCTTGAAAACTGTCTAGAGTATTTGTTTTCCTTTTGTTTTCCTTGAAAAAAAAAAGTTACATCAAGCTTGTTTATTTAGCTCAGGATGGATGGTCATAAAGTAGATTCGATGAATAGCTTAATCCAGCTTTTTCGGAGAGTTAAAGCTTAATTCTGTCTAGAGCATTTGCAATCACTCATACCATTTCTTCCCACCTTGAAGATTCGAAGCCCATCCCTGTCTAGAGTATCTGTCTAGAGTATTTGTTTTCCTTGAAAAAAAAAAGTTACATCAAGCTTGTTTATTTAGTTCAGGATGGATGGTCATAAAGTAGATTCGATGAATAGCTTAATCCAGCTTTTTCGGAGAGTTAAAGCTTAATTCTGTTTGGATGACGATGATACTTATAGATTTGATCCTTCTATTGATTTTTAATGAGAATAAGATTAATGGATTACGATGAAGTTAAGTTTATGTATTTATTTATCAACATTTATATTTGAGCAAAACTTGGATAATATGCTTATTATAGATAAATCCTGTCTCATTGTTGATATAATATAGTTTCATTGTCTCATTGTCTCATAAGTAAGTCCTTAATGATCATGAGCAGCTCATATTTGGCATTGCAAATAGACTGGGCACAACTCAAATTGGGCTCATTCATTAAAATGTACTAAAAAAAAAATTTATATGTTTGCCTATTAATTGAGACAAGCATAACTAGGGGCTAATATCACCCTGTTTTGCTTGAGAAGAGTTAGATATATTTACTTATTATACATGAAATTTGCTTCACTCATCTGAAATAATTAAAACCATCAAATATATGCTAAATAGTTAACAATACATGTTAATCTAACTAGATACTTCATTGTGGTATGCGAAAAGAAAATGGGTCTCATAGAATATATGAAAATGAGGCCAACTGGTAATAAATCTAACATGTGATTTAAAAAATGTAAAAAATTGAAATGTCTACATTTGATGGGAGATTATACCATAGTTCTTTTCTGATTGGGATGGATGCATGTACTTAATTTGAATGTCAAATTTGCTAAATTAGAACTACTTATTCAAGCTAAGATATATTAGATTAGGGAAAGCGAAGACGACGACTTGGTAGAGAACCTATAATCACTTCGGTAGAAATTAAAAGTTTATTTAACAAAAAAAAACCCTCTTCTAATCATATCGTGATCATTTGCTCGATGAGTTTAATACTTCAAAACAAAGAGCCAAAATAATTGCTAAATATATGAAGTTCTTGATACTTCCAAACAATATTTTTCAATTTTAAATTTGGAGTAAGGCCTAATATTAAAAGATAGATGATAACCCATTTGATTATATCACTTGTTCATGTTTTCCAAGTAGTCTTAGATTTTGAGCAAATATTAGATTTTTTTTTGCTATTAGAAGTGTTGCTTCATGTACTGAATGTGTATGTTATCGTCAAAATACTCAAGTTCAAATTACTTTATCTATTGTATCTAAGGGAAGCAATACCATTGATAACTAAGATGATAAAAAAATTCCGTTGCTACTGCAACTATTTTAAAATTCTTGCAAACACATACTTTAAATGTCGTCAGAAAGGTCGTATGAAAATGAAAATTTAGACATTGTAAAAGGTAAAGGTGATAGGTAAATTAAAGAGTGAAAAGTTTATTTATGAAAACTTTATTTAACAAAAAAAACCCTCTTCTAATCATATCATGATCATTTGCTTGATGAATTTAATACTTCAAAACAAAGAGCCAAAATAATTACTAAATATATGAAGAAGTTCTTGATACTTCAAAAGAATATTTTTCAAGTTTAAATTTGTAGTAAGGCTTAATATTAAAAGAGAGATGATCCCCCATTTGATTATATCACTTGTTCGTTTTTTCCAAGTACTATTAGATTTTAAGCAAGTATTAGATTTTTTTGCTATTAGGAGTTTTGCTTCATGTACTGAATGTGTATCTTATCATCAAAATACTCAAGTTCAAATTACATCTTTTGTATCCAAGGGAATCGATACCATTGACAACTAAGATGATAAAAAAATTCCGTTGCTACTACAATTATTTTAAAATTCTTGCAAACACACACTTTAAATATCGTCAAAATGGTCGTTATGGAAATGAAAATTTATACATTTATGTAAAAGGTAATGGTGATAAGTAAAGAGTGAGATGATATTAATGAAATTGATTTAGAAATAAAATTATCATATTTACATTCTTTAAATTTTGAATATGCATTATTGCCACATGTAAAGTTAAATTTAATTGGAAAAAGACTGCCATATTCAAATTTAATATAATGATAAAGTTTATAAGGCTATCATAGATAGTGGAAGTTGTAAGAATTTTGTGACTATTTTTGCTTTTGATAGCTTGGAATTGAAACTTGAATTATGTGTAAGACTATATAAAATAGCATGAGTAGTGATACTTCAATTTAATTGTTTAAAATTGCATAATAAGAGGTGTCTCAATTATATCTAAATGCAATTTAAAAAAAAGAGGTTATGAGGTGTACAACTCACCTTGGCCTATGTAGGTGTTTGGCTCAATAGGATTGAGGTTTGCCTCAAGGAGCGCCTCTACACAATTTATATTGGGTGTAAGGCTTTAAAACTAGGGTTTAAGTAATTTAAAATTTAATTTATAAATTTACAGTATAAAATAAATCTTATTTTGTTTTTCTTTTAGACTTAAACCTAAAAAAAATTAAATCAAGAACAAGAATTACATGCACCTCTTTATTCCTAGTTGCATGTTGCACTTGCATCTGAGACACTTGCACTCCTAGCTGCACGCCACTAACACTGTTGGGTCGATACCGTTGTGGTGCAGTGTTGTTGCTCTTCCATCGCCTCTTCTCTTATTGCTAGCATCCCATCTAAGTATTTGTTTCTTTTCTTAGAAATTTTTATAACTTATGTTTTGCTTTCTTTGTTTGTTATTGTTATCATTATTTATCATTTTCCTTATGTGTGTTCTCTCTCTCTCTCTCTCCTTTTAAATTCACCTACTACCGTATATTTTAAGCCTCTAAATTAAATTAAGGTTGGAGACAAAGCCCCCGACCACTTAGCTAAGTTGAATGTGCTACATTTTGTGTTCTCCTTTTGAATGAAATTTTTAATTTTGGGTATTCTAAAATGGCTAGAGGTTCGGGAAAAAAAAGGTTAATAGGAAATATAAAACACTCGACATGGAAGTATAGCGCTCAAATGCATAATGGAGTAAGTGAAAGAAGGCATATTTATTTCAGGTGCAACTATTATGTAAAATGGTCAAGGCGGTGTACTGAAAATGACATGATATTTCTATTCTCATAAGAATATTGCGCCATGTGCTAAAATACCTGATGAGGTGTAAATGATATTTGTGTTTTTATGAACAAAGAGACAATGTCAAAGTATTTAAGATAAATTTTATAATAGATGAGGTAGTGAATCTCATGATGACAGTGGTCATAGTAGCAAAAAATCTTCATATTTGCCAAAAATATTCAATAGAGGTGTCAGGGGACCTATAGATCAGTATATGATGAATGTGGAGGATAATAAGAATGATGATATAATAGTACCAATCAAATATTTTCATATAATTCTAAGAGGATCACAACTGTGTTTGTATGGATAATGCATGATTCCTCTATAGAAATGCAATTTGATATTATGTGGCAATTTTTTGCGTCATATGCCAACATGATTTAATTAAATATTTCCTTTAAGTAATATTGAGAAGGTCATTGAGGAGATAAAAAGAACCTGATCACAAAGTATAGTTACAATCTTCTTTAATTTATAATAATGATTTATGGTTTTACTAATGTTAAAAATAGGAATTTGATTAGCATTATAATAAATAATTTTTATGACATTATATGTTTGAAGTTTGTTGAAGCATCAGATCAGATGAATGTGCATAGTATGTTTTTTAGAATTATCGATTGAGTTATGGAGTAGATTGGAGAGCATTTAGTAGTCTAAATTTTTATTGACAATCCTATTGCTTATAAGGCTACATTACAAAAATTGATGGAGTATTGAATGCATATTTGCAGGACTCCATGTGTTGCACGTTACAATATTTTAATTTTTGAAAATCTAGGAGAATTGTCAGAATAAGAATGTTTTGAATAAAGGCAAGAGAACTTCTGTAAGAAAGAACTCATAAGACTCACAACCACTAGATTTCTACGATATACTTGACCTACAAAATATAAAGATGTAAGGCAATTTTTGGCCGCTGTGGTCTCCTTCATATTGTGGTTAAATTTTGTTTGAGCTAAGAGGTGTCCAGGCCAAATATTATTGAGTGAGATTTTGGTTACATGCTATTGATGCTATCATAGTTATTAAGGCCTTTGTTCATAAATTAAGAATGGTTGATGCAGAGAAAAAGTAAGTTTGGAGATGAGATAAACGAGTTAATAGCACAAAATTGAGGAGGAGATGAGTGCAACTACAAGAAAATTTAGGAGATGAGAAATAAGAGTTTAGTTGCATCGGCATTGCACGTCATTGTTGTTACCTTATTCTTCAATATCTATGTAGTGAGAACAAGTCAACCAATTCAAAGATCAAATTTCATTTGTACCATTGTATAGATAAATTTATTGTTGGCTCAACTAAGAAGGTAAAGACTAACCCAAGATTGATACATGTGGGAATGATGTATTGTCCCATTGTGTGGAAAGGATCGGCGGGGGAAGTGTCGAAAAATGAGGAAAATGAGCCTGAATGTGGTGGGATTCAAGCTCAAGGGGAGCTGAGGGTGTATGCAAGGAGGAGAAAGCAGAATGAGAGAACAGTGATTGCAGTACTACTTGTGTCAGCAAGTCTCTTGTCTCTCCTACCCCAACTCTTGAGAAACTTACTCCATTCACCTCAAACTCAAAATACACAGGTGATATGATTCTTATTCCATCTACTTCCAAAAACGTCACTTTAAGAAGGACCTTTCGTAGTAATGCGAGACATCCTCCTGATCGTTTTGGGATGGAAAATGACATTACTCAGTTTGTTTTATACACTACTATATCACATGTACATGAAAAATTCATTGCATCTTTAGATGTTGTCTCTATACCGAAGTGTTGACATATAGATAAGAAGGATTCCAAGCGGAAAACGGCCATGCATGAAGAGCTTGGGGCTTTCGATGAAAACCAAACATGGGAGATAATACCACTGCCAATGGAGAAAAGAATAGTTGGGTGCAAGTGGATCTTCATGGTAAAATAAAATAGAGAAGGGAAAGTGGAGCTTTACGAGGCATGTTTGGTTGCAAAATGATACAGTCAGACGTATGACATTAACTATGGCAAGACCTTTGCACCAATAATAAAGATGAGCACAGCGAGGAATCTTATTTCTCTGATAGTGAATGACGGATGGAGGTTACACTAACTCGATGTGAAGATTGTGTTTCTTCATGTTGAGTTATTGGAGGAGGTGTGTATAGAGATACCACCAGGATTCGGTACAGGTTTGACAGCGGCAAGGTGTGAAGACTCAAGAAGTCACTTTATGACTTAAAACTGTATGAGCAGATTAATGCTGACCATACAATGTTCTTTCGTCAAAATGAAAGTCACATTACTATATTTGTTGCGTATGTTGATGACATGGTTATCACTTGTGATGATGAGGCAGATATTGCTCAACTAAAGGTAATATTGAGCAAAGAATTTGAGGCGAAGGATCTTGGACAACTCTGATACTTCTTTGGAATTGAGGTGGCCCGTGGACCAGAGGGAATGGTTTTGTCTTAAAGGAAGTATGTAGTGTATCTACTCACAGAAACATGCATGCTGGGATGCAAGCTTGTAGTCTCTTCAATTGAACATAAGACAAAGCTAAGTGTAGAGGCAGGAGAGCCAGAGGAAAGGGTTGATCTTTAGGAAAATTGGGCATGCAGGCATTGACGGTTTTTGTGACTCTGATTGGGTGAGTTGTGTGGATGACAGTAGGTCCGTAACAGGATACTGCATGTTTGTATGGGGCAACTTGGTCTATTGGAAGAGCAAGAAACTGTCAGTAGTAGCGAGGTCAGCAACAGAGGCAGAGTATAGGGCGATGGCCTTATGAGTTGTCAAGATGATGTGGCTGGGTTCCTTGTTGGAAGAGCTCATGGTGGACCAAAGAGCTCAAATGAAGTTATGGTGCGACAACAAGTCAGCAATCAACACTGCCAACAAACCGGTTCAACATGATAAAACCAAACATGTGGAGATTTATGTTCTTCGTCAAGCAAAAGTTGAATAACGGTTTGTTGGAACTAGGCATATAGCCATTAGAGAGCAAGTGATGGACTTCCTCACCAAAGGACTTGACTCGTTTGATTTGTTTAGATTATGTGACAAGATGGAGTCAGTGAATATCTTTTGTCTATCTTGAGGGGGAGTGTTGAGATTTGTATCTTTTTAAGGGTTCTAATTATGAATAGGAAATATAGAAGAAGTTTAGGGATTATTTGTGATAACGATGTAAGGTTCTATATAAGCCTATGTCAGTAATGAATAGAACAAGTTTTGCACTGCAATTGCGTCTTTAAACCTTGACAGTTAAAGGCTAATGACATGTTGTGTTCAGTTGAAGTTCAGAATAACGTGGAATAACGTGGAATGCAGAATTTTTTCATTGATATGAACAAGAGTATAAATAACTCTTACAATAATCCTATAATAGAAAAAATAATAAAAAAAAAATGATATGAAAGGAAAGATATATCACTTAATATCTTCAATAATCAATTAATATTAATTATTAGAAGATATAAGAAATAATCTAAAATAAGAAAACAAATAATTCTTAATCAAATGAAATAAATATAAAATAGAAAATGAAATATCTCCTTAATTTAAGGAAATAATATATTCCTCATAACTTTTTACAGGAATAAATTATTTTCTATTATAACTTCTAACACTCCCCCTCAAGTTGAAACATGGTTGAAAATCACGTTCAACTTGAATTTTAAAACATCAAATGATGGGCGAGGAAGATCCTGTGAAGTAGAACTTGAAGTATTTATCATGTATTGTGGTTGTCTTTGGCTGCAGTTACTACAGTGTCTGTAGGTAGGCGAAAAGTTCCTACAGATAATGTTGCATGTAAGTAGAAAGTAGTGGTCGCAGTCCCTGCCAATGTCTGTATGTAGACGGAAAACTTGTACTAGTACTACTGCAAAGAATTTGCAGGGTCTGTAGGTAGGCGAAAAGTTCCTACAGATAATGTTTCATGTAAGTAGAAAGTAGTGGTCGCAGTCCCTGCAATGTCTGTATGTAGACGGAAAACTCGTACTAGTACTACTGCAAAGAATTTGCAGGAAAGTAGACAACTTTGATTGCTTTGACTGCAATTCTTGTAGTGCCTGTAGGTAGACTGAAAGCTTCTACATGTAATGATGCAAAGGACTTTGCATGGAAGTAGACAACTGTGATTGTCTTTTGACTGCAGTTTCTGCAGTGCCAGTAGGAAGACACAAAACTCAGGCTTGACAGAATTTTGAGTTTTGTTGCAGTGCCAGTAGGAAGACACAAAACTCAGGCTTGATAGAATTTTGAGTTTTGTTTGTCATGTGTTTCGACAAGTAGACAACTGTGTTTGTCTTTTGATTGTAGTTTCTGCAGTGCCTATAGAAAAACTCAAAACTCAGGCTTGACTGAATTTTGAGTTTTTTCTGCCATGTGTTTCGGCAAGTAAACAACTGTGTTTGTCTTTTGACTGCAGTTTCTGCACTACTTATAGGAAGACTCAAAATTCAGGCTTCGCTAAATTTTGAGTTTTGTCTGCCATGTGTTTCGGCCTAGAGAGAAGATAGATGGGGATTTCAGCAGCAAGGATGAAACCGACGAAGAAGAGAATGTAGGTTGGTTGTTGGAAGCAAATATTTTTTCTGATTATCAAATTTGCTAGATTCAGGCTTGACTGAATTTTGAGTTTTGTCTGTAATGTGTTTCAGTATGGAGAGAAGATAAATGGGGGTTTCGTCAGCAGGGATGCAACCGATGACAAATTTTCTGGAGGCCGACAGATTCAAAGCTCCCGATGAATTTTGAGTTTTGTCTGTAATGTGTTTCAGTATAGAGAGAAGATAAATGGGGGTTTTGTCAGCAGGGATGCAACCGATGACAAATTTTTTGGAGGCCGACAGAGTCGAAGCTCCCGGGAAGCTCTCGGTTCAGGAAGGGTCAGCCAACAGACAAAGCTTACAGGGAGAGAAGGAGAAAAAATCATTGTTTCAAATACCAAGATGAGTGCCCCTCCAAGATGAGTGCCCCTCCCCTCTTGCACATAGGATGACAGGAAGGGAGCCCGACAATTATCAAAGGAAGACTGGTGGCTAGAGTACGAAATTTGGCTCTGATACCATGTTGAAGTTCAGAATAATGTGGAATACCGTGGAATGCAAAATTCTTTCATTGCCCTCTTGCACATAGGATGACAGGAAGGGAGCCCGATAATTTTCGAAGGAAGACTGGTGGCTAGAGTACGAAATTTGGCTTTGATACCATGTTAAAGTTCAGAATAATGTGGAATACCGTGGAATGCAGAATTCTTTCATTGATATGAACGTGAGTATAAATAACTCTTACAAGAATCCTATAATAGGAAAAATAATAAAAAAAATGATAGGAAAGGAAAGATATATCGCTTAATATCTCCAATATTCAATTCATATTAATTAGTAGAAGATATAAAAAATAACATAAAATAGGAAAATAAATAATTCTTAATTCAAGGAAATAAATATAAAATAGAAAAGGAAACATGTTCTTAATCTAAGGAAATAATTTATTCATCATAACTTTTTACAGGAATAAATTATTTTTTATTATAAGTCCTAACATATTCATACCTTCCCTTCTTTGTTCTACATTTTGTTTTATTTGCATGTCCACTGTGGAATATGACACTGTGTTTTATAATTGCAGAGTATGGAGATGCAGTGATTTTGCATAAGAGAATAACTAAATAGTAGCATTATTTGAGTTCTGATTGTATACTAAGAATGCAGATATAGTTATTTATATGTTAAAATTTCAAACAGATATTCTATTTTTGGATAGCAATAATAAAGTTTTTCCCCTGTATAGTTTTCAAACATATGTAGCTGAGGTTTTTTGAGGGGCATATCATAAATTTTTTAGTTAGAAAACTTAAAAATGGGCGTGAGGAAGTTATGTTTACTTCATTTCTTTTTTATAACTCTTTTCTGCATGGTTCTAGATGATTTGAACTTCATGATAGCAAGATAACCGCTTGAAGAAGAATGATCTATTCAATAAAGTTTCCATAAAAGTGATATAAGACCAAAGAAATGGATTTTATTATTTTTATTTTTTTGTAAATTGTAGTACGGCATGTCACAAATCTTCATGATCTCTTTTGCTGTAATTTGAATATTGAAAGTTAGGAGCTGATTTAACATACATAGAGGATTTAAACTATTTGTGTCATGAATAAGAATGCCTTTTTAATTCAATTGAAATGAAACACTAGTTTTTGTTCTTTCAATATTTTGTAGCATTAATTTAAGGTATGAATCTTTCTTTATTGATAATTTGATATCTTGTCATAAAAACAGCACAGCATGTCATAAAGATGACAAACGTTGTAGGTAGCTTAAGTTTCCATGCATTTTAGCACAGGGAGCTTGGTGGGGAACTCTTTTATAATCAAACCTATATTTGTCGTGAACATTCCGTTTTCACACATATTTCTTCTCCCTAAGTATCTTTTCTTAGGTGATATCTGATCATAAAGTTTATTCTATTTAGTGTCGCTTGAAGTTCATAAAGGTCTTTCTGTATCAAGTTTCTAGGTGCATGAAATACGTGATTTTTCCTGGGATGGTATACCCTCTCGAGGTGCATCGTGGCTGAGAGAGGAGCCCATTGAAGCCGTTTGGCTGAGAGTTTTACTCGTTCCTGCTTGTGGAGGTGTTATTGTTGGCATGTTGAACAGCTTGCACAGTTATCTGGAAAATCCATCCGAGAGAAATGGGACTGCCAATATAAGGGGTGCTCTAGCTTCATTTGTCAAGACAATAGCTGCTTCTGTCACCCTTGGGACTGGAAATTCGTTGGGGCCTGAGGGTCCCAGTGTAGAGATTGGCTCTTCTATAGCAAAGGGTGTTAGCAATGTATTCAAGTGGAATGGTGGACAAAGTTTGTCAATTGTTGCTGCCGGAGCTGCTGCTGGAATCTCATCAGGTCATATATTCATTCCAGTTTTTAAGTATTTCTCTATTGAATGTTGCGGCAATTTTTGCTTAATATGATAACTATTTCATGTCCTAAAGTATGAAATATGAAAATGTAGATTGCATTTTGAGAACTTGGTCACTGAAGATATGCTGGACGTGATATTTTTTGTTGTTGCAAGAACTGATTCATTCTCTTGACTAGTTTGCTATCTTATAATCAGACCACATTACCGTGATTATCATGTTGTCTTTCTTATAGGGTTTAATGCTGCTGTTTCTGGATGCTTTTTTGCTGTGGAGTCAGTCCTTTGGCCATCTACTTCAGATTCATTCTCGTCCTTGACAAATTCAACTTCGATGGTCATACTCAGTTCTGTTATAGCATCCATTATTTCAGAAGTAGGTCTTGGTTCAGATCCAACTTTCACTGTTCCAGAATATGATTTCCGTTCTCCAAGTGGTACATTTCTTCCCTTTGATTATATAAATGAGATGTTATAAGAAGTTGTAGCTATATCTTAAAATTAGAGATAACGTTCCTGATGAAAGTGGCATGTATGGTATTCATTCACAGGCCAAAAATCCTTTTTTTCAGAAATGTTATTAGATTCTTAACTAATCATATAATTTCTTGAATTTTTCTCATTCCTGAAATTGTTATAGTTTTTCGTACTTGATAACTCCATCAATATTCAGTAGATGTATCTTATCATTGGCTTCATGCTGGCAGGTTCTTTTTTTTATTATTTTTTTTCCTTTAATTTTGAGATGTTCTCTTTTACTTTGAGAAGATTGTTTTTATACGCCACTGAGATGGACACTATCTGCAGTTATTTATAATATTCAAAGTATATTTTCAGAACTTCCCTTGTATCTTTTGCTGGGTGTCTTGTGCGGCTTGGTGTCATTGGCCCTCTCTAGGTGCACATCATTTGCGCTGAGCGTTGCTGACAACCTTCAGAAGGCAATAGGATTTCAGAAGGCTCTATTTCCTGCTTTTGGTGGCCTAACTGTTGGTTTGATTGCCTTAGCATATCCTGAAGTCCTTTACTGGGGATTTCAGAATGTTGACATTTTACTGGAATCAAGACCTTACCTGCTGATGTTTTGTTTCAATTGGTCGGGGTAAAAATAGTAGCAACATCCATAAGCCGTGCTTCAGGACTGGTTGGAGGATATTATGCACCGTCTCTTTTTATTGGAGCAGCAACAGGAATGGCGTACGGGAAGTTTGTGGGCCCTGCATTTTTGGGACCCAATGCAATATTTCATCTTCCTATCATAGATGTTGCATCCCCTCAAGCATATGGTCTGGTAAATTTTCACATTTAAATCTTGTCTACTTTAGTTGTTGAACAGTGCTACTTGGCCTTCTTCAGAATATAGTGGTTTTTTATTTTTCGACTGGCAAGTGGACCATGTCATATGAAGTAAATTAGAAAGTAAGGCAGAGTCTTTTTCTGTGTTTGCTGGACTTTATATTTAATGAATTATAGCAGTTGATCCTTGCATCCTACAGCGAACACCTTTTATTATTTAGGGAATGTTTGTTTGGAGGTATTAGTATTGTGTAGTACATGGAATATATGGGTTAGGAGTTCAAGTGTTTGTTATGAAGGAATTTTGAATACCTAAACCCTAAACATTCGTTATAAGGCATTTTGAATACCTTCAAACTCAAAGGCTTAATTTTTATGAATTTAGGATTCATCAAAATTGTGTGAACCAAGTGCTTTTTTTTGTGATGACACCGGAATTAACCCAAATAACAATAGTGACACAAATATTATTACTGAAAAAGTCAAATAGGCGGTTACAACCTACCACACCCTGAAAAGAGAAATACAACAATATAATACAAACTCATTCTAGGGTTTGATTCATGGGTGGTGAGGGTCGGCTAGGTGGTCGGGGAGTGGTGTTAGGCGGTTGTAATGGGCTGTGGTGGTGCTGGAAACAACAGAGGGGCTAGAATTGCGATGGCAGCGAGGCGAAAGGCCTGGAACGGCAGCAAGGCAGAAGGCCTGGAACGGAAGCGAGGCGGCAGGCCTAGTACAACAATAACAACAAAGCGGAGGGCGAGAGGCAACGAGGAAGGGCTGTGGTCTGCAGGACAGCGAGAGGCAACGAGGAAGGGCTGGGGCCTGCAAGACAGCAATGTCCTGTACAGGGGAGACAATCCACATAATGTGATCTTGTTTCTCACTTTGTAGATCCCTTTGAGTATGACTAGGTCTACCTTCATTGTTGTCTCTGCGTCTACCATCACCTTTCTCCCATGATCTTGTGAAATTCCAGCAAGCAGCTCTGACAGCAACAATTGACCACATCAATTTAAAAACATATTTATTTAAAAGAATATATTAACATAAAAATTTAGCTTCATCTTACAATCAACCAAACACAAAAAGTTATTTTCTATAATTTTTTAAATAAATTGTTCAAAATTTGCTTTGTACATTCATAACATGGACTTAAATAGGGTATTACAATATTTTACAAATAAACCTCTAGATTTCTTTGATATTCCTTTTTAACCAATAAGACCTTAAATAAGGTTGGACTTCTTCAATATTCTCTTAAATAAAGTCCAATTCTCAACACTGAATCCATTAAGCCCATCTTATCACATAACCTAGACAAATCCAATGAACTAAGTCCTTTAATGAGGCGGTTGCTCTCCAAACAAATCTAATGAACTAAGTCCTTTAGTGAGGCAGTTGCTCTCCAGCGGCTATATGACTTAGCTCCATTAGCCTGTCATTCAGCTTTTCCTTGATGAAGAATCTATCAATCTCCACATGTTTGGTTCTATCGTGCTTCACCAGGTTCTTGGCAATGGTGATTGCTGACTTGTTGTCGCACCACAACTTCATTTGAGTTCCTTGGTCCACCTTGAGCTCGACTAGCAAGACTCTCAGTCACATTATCTTGACAACTTCTAAGGCCATGACCCTGTACTCTGCCTACGTTGTTGACCTTGTTACTACAGACTGTTTCTTGCTCTTCCAAGGGATCGAGTTGCTCCCTACGAACATGCAGTATCTTGATGTGGATCTTCTGTCATCTGCACAAGTCGTCCAGTCAGTGTCATAAAAGCCTTCAATGTCTAAATGTTCATTCTTTCTGAAGATCAACCCCTTCCTTGGTGCACTTTTTAGACACTTCAGATTCTAATATACTGCATCCATATGACCCTTCTTTGGATCATTCATGTAGTGTCTCACCACGCTCACTGCAAAAGAGATATCGAGTCGAGCGTGACATAGTTAGATTAAATGACCTACCAATCTTTGATACCTCTCACGATAATCAGTTCTCCTGCCTTTGTACTCAGCTTAGTCTTTTGGTCAATTGGAGATACTATAGGTGTGCACCCCATCATGCATGTTTCCATGAGGAGATCTAGTATATAATTTCTCTGGGACAAGACCATCCTCTTAGGTCCACATGTCACTTCAATCCCTAAACAATATCTGAGTTGTCCAAGATTCTTTACCCAAATTCATTGCCCAATCTTACCTTTAGTTGGGCAATCTCTGCCTCATCATTACCGGTGAAAATAATGTCACCAACATACACAACAAGTATAGTAGTGTGTCTTTTCAAAAGAACATCATATGACCCGCATTGATTTGCTCATATCCAATACCCACAATAGCCTGTTTAAACTTGTTAAACCAAGCTCGAGGAGAGTGCTCCAAGTCATACGTGACTTCCTGAGCCTATACACCTTGCCCACTGTCTGAACTGTACCACATCCTGGTGATATCTCCATATATACCTCCTTCGGTAACTTACTATGAAGAAATGCATCTTCACATCAGCTTGGTATAACCTTCACCCTGCATTCACTGTCAGAGAAACCAGTGTTTTCAATGTGCTCATCTTTGTGACTGGTGTAAAATTTTCATCATAGTTCATGTCATATGTCTGACTGTACATTTTAGTCATCAGTTGTGTTTTGTACCACTCTAACTTTCATTCTGGAGTTTGTTTCACTATGAAGATCCGCTTGCACCCAACATCCTTTTTTCCCACTGGTAGTGGCATTATCTCCCATGTTCGATTTTTATCGAAAGTCTCATGCTCTTCATTTATAGCCGCTTTCCACTTGGGATCTTCCTTAGCAACCTGTTAGCAATTGGGTATAGAGACAATGTCCAAAGATGCAATGAATGCTCCATGTAAATGTGATATTTTAGAATTTGAAACAAATTCAACAATGTCATGTTCCCACCTAAAACGATCGGGTTGGTGTCCCGCATTGCTGCGAGAGGCACTTCTTAAAGTTGGGGGGTTAGGAGGAGGAGGAATCATATCACATGTGAGTTCTTAGTTAGAGGTGGATGGTGCAGGTGTCTAAAGAGTCAGGAAAGAAAAGAGCAAGGGATTAGCTGACACAAACGACACTGCAGACACCGCTCTCTCATTTTGCGTCACTCTTCATGTATACACCCTTAGCTCATCTTCAGCTTGAATCCCACCACCTCTGGGCTCACTCTCATCATTTTTCGGTTCCTCAACTGATTCATCCCACATTATAGGACAAGACCTTGCTCCCACGTGTACCACTCTCTCACCATTGTGACTCACCCACCCTTACCTCATATCTCAAGTATCTGGCGAGTCACCGAAAGGTGAGGTTACATTCTGGGTGTAGTATGGTTTCAATTCTCTAAATGACACGTTCATGCTCATAAACAGTCTCTTATTTATTTGGCTTCAGCAGACATACCCATTCTAGGTAGCAGAATAGTCTACAAACATATATTTCATAGCTCACAGTTCTAGGATCCAGCTTCCTTAGTAATGGCCTCTTATCATTCACAAAGCATACCCATCCAAACACCTTCAATAGGAGGATCCCGCTATTTTCTCCTTTCAAAATTTGACAATGAGGCTTCCAATCTAACACTCTCGAGGGCATCCTATTGATCAATTGAGCTGCTGTCAAAATTGTTTGCCCCTATAAATACTTTAGGACATTCATTGCGATCGGACTACCTCTAGAAGGTGTTTATTCTTTCTCTTTGCTACTTTATTTTGTGTCAGTGTGTTTGGATATGTGGTTTGATGATGTATACCTTGGATTGAAAAATATTTCACAAATACCTTGTTGGTGTACTTTGTCTCATTATTAGACTTCAATACAATCACTATTGCATCATATTGAGTCTGGTTTGTCTTGTAGAAGTTTTTAAAACAATCAAACACATCACTCTTATTTTTTTATCAAATATATCCCAATAACACGAGTAAAACAATCAATAAGGTTACAAAATATTGATAATCATTCATAGAACTTGTAGAACAAAGTCTCAAAACATCATAATGTATCAAGTCAAAAACACTATAACTCCTATTCTTTGAACTGATATAAGAGCTTATAGTAAGCTTGTTAAACTCAAAGCATCACAATTTTTGTTTGTCTTTTCATATAAAAAATGATACAACCGACTCAATAAGCTAAAATAAGAGTGTCACATGCGTCTGTGATGTAGCAGCAACACATCCTTCACATTGCTCCCAAATTCTTCTACTTCAGCAGTACCTATCATGTATGTCAATTTGAGTTCATCCCGTTTTGGTCCAACTAACAGAGTTTACTATGCCACGTTTCAGTCTCAAGTGTCCGACCAATCCCTTTTTCTTAGAAGATCTTCTTAGGAATATCTAAAGAAATAACATATTTTAGTTGGAGAATAATGACACTAATGGATAAAAGGTTCACTGGAAGAGGAGCATGCAAAATATTGGACAAAGTCATATAATTAGTACCCCTCACTGTACCCTTACCAACTATCGACTGTGTTGTACTATTAGCAATCTGGATACTCTCTAGTACTGCTAGGGGAGTATATAAAGAAAACTCTCTACTAGTACTTATCACATGACGAGATGCACCAAAATCTGTTATACATTTTGATTATCCTCTGGTGAAAATAGAGGTAAGAGCATGTGTATCACAAGTACCTTTGTCAGAGTGAGCATAAGTGACAATGCTACCATTTGATGACGACTGGTTGGGCATTCTCAGCCACATTTTCTGTTGTTTTTTGCTTCCTCTTCAACATCTCTAGACATTCATGATCCTCATTGGTAAAAACTTCACTTGTCTCTTTCTCCTTTGCTGCCATCAGATTTGCCCGTTAGCCCCTCTTTTCTACCTTTTTGTTGACCAAGGCCTCCACCCTTTCCACATCCACTCGTCTCTCTCTCTCTTATTAGGTGGCCTAGGATATGTGTTGCTCATATACCCAACTTCGCCACAACAGTAGTACTTGCGAGTCTCCCCCTGGACACCCGTCATGCATGAGCTCAAGGAAGTTGAAGCTGATTGTGCACTCAAAAGTCCAATTGACTTAGAGTGTAGCTTCATGCGACTCTCCTACTATATTATCACAACAATGGCCTCATCCAGTGAAGGGATAGTTGCTTAAGCTAGGAAGGAAAATCTCTTTTGATCAAAGTTGGGGTTCAAATTGACCAGAAAATGCATAATCTTCATTAATGTAAAGGTATCCCCTTTGTTACACTCTGGATCGCCATAGCTCGATATCAGTGAAAAATGATCAAGATCTGCCCATAGCTGCTTGAGCTCTATGGAGTACTCTTGAATCGATCTATTACTCTGAACTACTACCTCTATCTCACGCTGAATCTGAAACACCTCATGCGGTTCTCAGCCTCATCATAGATCTTCTTCAGCTTCGCCCAAATATCGCTCATCTTTCGAATGTCATCTACTGATGAGGTAATCGATGAAACCATCGAAATGAGTAGCCAGGTGTAAAACAAGGCATGTGTGGTTTTCCACTCATCTCTTTCAACATTGCCACTCTTTGGCTCGATCCACGTCAGATATCCCTCTAATATTTTCCCTACTAGAGTAGCCTAGATTCGGCATGAACAATTCAAATATGTGGTCGGTCCATCAAATTTCGGATCCACAGTTGGGAGATCTAGATTCATTTGTGTCGGAGCATGTGCTAAGATAACAACTCTCTATATGAGCCCGCCCAAGACTTTCGGAATTTTCAGAATTTTTATTTCTAGGAGCTCTAAACCTTTTCCTCTCACACTATCTCTGTCTTATCTCCTGACATCTTCAATTTAACTATTCCCTAACCTTCGTCATCCTCTCACACACGTAGAACCAAAGTTCTCTACTCCACTGCTCTGATTTCACGTGCGCTTCAACCCTACCATGCACAGAGTCGCTCGAACCATTCTGCAATGATCCAGCAACCAAAGGCAATGTCAGTTAGGTCCTAGGTCACGCTCGAGCACGTCGGTCTACTTCATAGCTGGCTGCAATCGTGCTTGTGTTGTGAGCGTCAGCACGCCTTTATCGCGAGTGTTCGTTGCCATCCCTTCGTTGCCTTCCCAATTAGTTGTAATCATGACTGGATCACTCGAGGGTTCACGTCACGATCCCTTCATTCTTCGTTGTCGTCCCAGTCAGCTCTACTTGCGACTGCATCCACTGTTTCACGCCGCGATCCCTTTGTTGTTGTCCCAGGTACCTCTAGTCACAGCTGCATTGCGATGACGAAGTGGAAGGAAGAGGAAATTGGAGTTCCGGGTCTCTGCATATCGATGTTCGATGATCGAGCAACACCAAGGACAGCTGCTAGGGTTCGGAGCTGCATTGCGATGACGAAGTGGAAGGAAGAGGAAAATTGGAGTTCCGAATCTCTGCATATCGATCTTCGATGATCGAGCAACACCAAGGACAACTGCTAGGGTTCGGACTCTGATATCATAAAGAAAGCATTATTCAAAATCTGCTTTGTACATTCATAACATGAGCTTAAATAGAATATTATAATATTTTATAAATAGACCCCTAAACTTCTTTGATGTTCCATTTTACTCGTAGGGACCTACATAAGGTCTAATTCTCGACATTTATTTTATTTCTAACCAATCAGTATTTTGTATTCTAAATGTAGCATTTTTAGTTTTCGTTGCATTTAGAATAATGTATTCTAAATACTTGCGGCTAAACGGTCGCGCATTTCTTTTGTCAGGTCGGTATGGGAGCTACCCTTGCAGGTGTTTGCCAGGTTCCTTTAACATCAGTTCTTCTTCTGTTTGAGCTAACTCAGGACTATCGGATAGTTCTGCCACTGCTTGGAGCAGTGGGCTTATCGTCTTGGATTGCCTCTAGTCAAAATAGAAGAAAAGTTTATGAAGATGGATCAGATCATGTTGAAGGTGATCGTAATGAACTTGAAGGTTCCCTAAATGGAGGCAAGGAATTTGATTATTCTGGAGTTACTACTGAATTGCTTCAAAGTAGTGATTTATGCGAGCTTGAGAGCTCCCTCTGTGTATATGATCATGTCACTCTTACGAATGGCTTAGCTGAGAGGCTTACTGTTGCACAGGCTATGAGAACTAGATACATAACTGTCCAGATGAGCACCAAAATTAGTGAGGCCATCGAATTGATGTACAAAGAGAAGGAGTCGTGTGCACTAATAACTAATAGCAGCCATTTTCTTCTTGGACAGTTGTCACTTGAAGACATTCAGGAATATAGCAGGCTCGCACGAGCTAATGGAAATACTGAAGTAAGGAGCTTGTCTAATTTTAGTTTTTGGTGAGATTATCTTAAGGTTTCTCTTTATGTATTAGGTAACATGCTGGAAAACATCTACCCTATTGACTGTGGCATTTTGATTCGCAATATGAGACAATAAAACTGAAAAATGCTAATTTATTACTTGCATGCTGAATTTAAATTGCATTTTTTTAAAAATTTTCTGCATGAATGATTGATTTCATTCTTAATTTTGCATCTCTAAAGTGAGTTAGATTAACTATAGATTTACTCTCGTTGGTCTTTGCCATGGCTTTAGTATTTTGAAAAAAATGAATGTCTTATATAAGTTGATCTTAAAATGCTGGTGTGCGACAATTTACTTGTTCTGGGATATATGTTTTTTTTTATGCAGTGAAGTTTTAAGCATTCGATAGTTGTACTTTAGCCATACAACGAAAGAGGTGCTAGTGATGCGTTTGTATTATACATGAGACATTGCAGGTTTATGATATGAGGTTGTCTATGGCAGTTATTATGGTATACATCAGAACGATTTTATGCAAGGAAGTGATTGTTGATTAACCTACATTTTGTTATTATCCGTAATCCAGTCTATTTTTCACAACTTACCATGTCTCTTTCTTAAAGATTGTTTTGCGGTTGGGTATAAAACATTTTTCAAGAAGGTGCAAATGTTAACAGCTTATTTCTTTTCTTGTTTCTTGGCAAGTGAGCACCCTTCCACCAGTTTTGCTACTTCGGATGGGAAAGGTAGATCGTGTGGGACATCTCTTTTCCTCTATTCTCCCAACTCATAAATCAAGTATTCAAGCTGTTTTCTCTCTTAGAGAGAAAATAGGGTGGTCTATGATGTGAAAAGAAAGATTATACTATTATGCTTTTCCACTCAATTTCTAGCTTTTTTTTTCGGTCTGTCTTGGCTTTCTTATAGCTACAGTGGAAATTAAATAGGGTGGTCTATGATGTGAAAAGAAAGATTATACCATTATGCTTTTCCACTCAATTTCTAGCTTTTTTTTCGGTCTGTCTTGGCTTTCGTATAGCTACAGTGGAAATTATCTTTGCTATTTTAATATGGAGTTTTAGACAGTTATACTCTTCCACTCTGGATTACAATGACTATGTCATTCTTGCCTTGCTATTTCTTCGACAATCCATTACAAAAGCAAAGATGTCTTCTAGGCCTTGGGCTCAAGCATAACTTCTAAGCTATTCTCTTCTGCGGGAATGATAGAGGTCGTCTTATTCAAAGATAGTAGCTCATCTTTTTTCAGCATCTGAATTTCTGACTTCATTACATTTTGCAATGAGGCTGAGAGAAAGTCCATACTCTGTTGTTCTCAATGAAGGTTTTCACCTTTGCTACATCCTTATTGCACCTCAATTTGATAGCTCGATATTAATTCAACTCTTGTTATAGATCCTTCAAGTGGTTAGCATTCTCTGTGATATATTTATTACCTTTGTTATCGGATTATCATCACTTTAATATTATATATTTGGGAAACATTTTTTGCTTTTGAATATGCATTTTTTATAATGTCCAAAATATCTTTGTAGTGGGTAAAAACTTGTATCTTTCACTACTTTTTGGAGTCATTGAATTACACAGTAATGATATTATCATATAATCTTTCTTATGCTAAGCATCAAATATTGGGCTTTGTTGCTTTGGATTGGTGTCATGAAGGTGATTACGTTTCATTTTCTCTTTGAAAAAGGTTGAACTAACTCGTTCGACTTCTAGTAGTTTTTTTTTTTATTTGAGTCTACACGCAGCTCATATGTTTTACAGATCTCTATATGGTTGATGATGTATTGTTTTTTGGGACATTTACATACCTCCTCAAAATTATTAGTTGGAGCAGACATTGTTTTCTTAGACATGAGGGCTTCTCGACTTGACTGATGCACTATTGTTTGCGGGACGGCAGCTATTGGAGAGATCAAGATTGTGATTGCTAGTTGGAAAGGTCAAAGCTGGAGAAGAGTTGTGATTTGCTGGCTGGAAAGAGCTCGGTTGAAGTAAAGGACAATATAGGAGGGTGTAGCTGCTGGAGAGATCACAACAATGAAAAATGTGTTTGTTGAAATCTAACAAGGGAAGAGCTAGCAGTGATAAAGAATGCAGCATGACGGAAGCCTATGGCCATGAATTTTGTGGTGGATATTCAAGGATACATGCCTAGGGCTATGATACCAAGTGAGAAAATATGAGATAATTGTACTGATCTCATTTTAATCTAATTAGAAGCAACTTGCAATCTCTTACAAGCTGTAAATAGAGAAAGGAAAGAAAACATGTACAATAAAGGAAACACATAACAGAAATGTAAAATCCATTTGAATGAGAGATTATTCTAATTAATAATTATTTAGCATCCAAAAATTGATTTAAGTTGTAGCCACAAAGAGATTATTCTAATTAATAATTTTTTAGCATCCAAAAATTGATTTAAGTTGTAGCCACAAGGAGCCACTCCTAGAATAGACATTGCTGGATGGTTTTAGTAGCAATTCTATGAATGAGAGATTAATCTGATCAATAATTTTAGTATCCAGAAATTGATTCAAGGTTTTGCCAAATGGAGCCACTCCTAGAATAGACATTGCTGGATGGTTTTCATAGCAATTCTAGTATCTGCAGTAATCAGTTCTGTATATTGAAGATTATTGGGCAACAAGCAAACCTTCCAACGACTATATTAAATGTGATAAGTGTTAAAATGGTCCCCTCACTCTTTGTAGGGGGGGCCATTTTACCCCGAGTCTGTAAAACTGTAAATTTAATCATGTGATATAGTCACCAGGGCTAACTATTTTAGCTTCCATTTAAAAAGTGGTGCAGGAGCTCTCACAAATATTGTGTCCCGTGGTATGTTTACAGAATTTCACGATTACGGAACTCTTGCTGTAGTGGATTCAATCGTGAGTACGCGATATGAACGATCCTGATTTGAATTCCGTCTCGATAAAGAACCTTCCATGGAATTTCCGCAATCTTGTCGGTGGAATGGGTGGGATTTCGCCCCGTTCCGCACTAAACAGAGAAAATTACGTTCGGCTAACAAATTCAATAGAGATTCTTGCCTTATCTAGCTTATTTACTATTTCTTTTTGTTTAATTAAGGTTTCTTTTTATTAGGAGATTATTTATATGTTTTATTTTTTTGTTTTGAAGACTTTTGATTATTGTTTTTATTTTGGGAGATTGTTTCTGTTTTATGCTTTTCAGAGGTTGTATCATCTTTCTTTTGCGAGTAGAGTATTTGTATCTTGCTTAGGAACAGATGGTGGAACCTCCACGCCGCCCATACTTGTTGATTCATTGTTTGATTGTTGTTTTCAGCCGAGACAATCGCCAAAAGACGTATATCTCCTTCCAATTTCCAAATACTGCCGACCTCGTATATTTGCATTCGCTTGCTATTCCATAACTCTCCCTCTAAATTCGCTTCCCAAAATAAGTTTTAGGAGCCCTAAAACGGTATCAAAAAGTCTGGGGGCTACTTTGACATTTTGATGAGCTTTGATACTAAAATGATCCCATGTATGATCAGGGGGCTATTTTGGCATTTTACCCTATATTAAACAGATTGGTGTAGAAGTCCATCATTCTTCCATTGCAATGCATTGTCTAACATTAATTTTTATATCCAAAAACTCCTCATGGATATTTTCTTATAAAATTGCCATAAGAAGCTCCGCCATTTAAGTTTCTAATGATTAGTAATATTAACCGATCTCCTGGTAAAATGGTCAAATATCCGAACCATACATAATAGATCATCTGCCTTGCAGGTTGACAAAATGCAAATATCTGAGATCTTCCAAACTGAAGAGAATACGCAGCGTGTATGGAGTGCATCACCAAACATGAGACTTGGTGCTGCTGAAAGGATCATGGAGTTGCATGGATTGAAGCTGCTTCCTGTGGTTTCACAGATAATTGATGGCCAAAATAGAGGACCCTTGATTGGCTTGCTGGACAGAGAATCTATAAGAATCAGCTGCAGGTAACTTTGCTAAGTTAATATTCAGTATTTTCTCGAGATGCTGAAGAAATAAAAATAAAAGAGCCGTTTGAGATCACTTTTACTTTTTTTTTATGTTTTATTTTAATTTAAAATAAAACATATTTAGTATGTTAAATTTATTTTACTTATTTTAAAAATACTCAAAACACTTGAGAGCCGTTTGAGATCATTATGTATTTTTGTTTTTATTTTGTATTTTAATTTGAATTATAATATGTTTTGTTACACTAAAAATTTTTTTAGTGTTTTTAAAAATATATTTTTTAAAATAGGTTGATTAATTTAAAAAAAATCAAACACCTTAAAATTATTATAATGAAACATAATTTTAAAAATAAAAATAATGTTAGAAAACAGAAGTGATGTCAAATGGTCCCTTAAAAGTTATTTTGGCTGTTTTTAAAAACAAATTGATATATATATATATATTTATATATATATACACACACATAAACACTAAATTAACATGTTTGTGATATCAGAAGGCCAAATAAAAAAAAATCGAGACAAAAATATGATCCCAAACAGGCCCTAGCAGTTTGAATATGTTCTTTATGTTCTTTTCATCACTCTTGCAGAACTTTGGCAATGACACTGCTTTTCAGTTCATCATCTATGGGCAACCGTCAAGACTACTGAGTTGAACCTAAGATAAGCTCGATAAGCTGTTGATTGCGAAATGTATATATAGCATTTAATGCAAGATACTGCTTACTGTTTTTAGGATTTCTTCTTTACAATGGCAGAATGCAGATTTTTGAACAACCATGTACAAGAATATTCGAAACTGTAATTACGAGCTCTGCGCCGAGGTAATTAATTATTTCTAAGAATTATAAGTTGATGCATCACTTGTTTCCATTCTAATAAAGAATTGCATTTGGAACTGACCATATTAACTATAAGTACACTGATAATTAGCACTTTGGATCATGGCCTTACATGTTCTTCAATCATTACTGGTTTGATACACACTTTGCAATTTCTCATAAGAACTTTGTAAAAATGATCGAAGCAGAAAGGATTTTTTAACATGATTTTATTTTTCTCCAACTAAAGTCAAAAGGAATTTTGAAATTTTGTATAAATTTTAGAATGAATCAAACAATTTTGAAATATTTTAAATATAATATATTATTTTTATACTGTATTTTTTCTTTTTAAAGCAAGCCAGACAGACCCTAACATTTTGTGCTCATCTGTTTGCTACATGCCCCCAGCAGCTGAACAAATCATTTGTAAACTATGTTTCGTGCAATAATTTTGATGAAACAGCACTATGAATGGCGCAGCATAAAGGTTTTCATCTTAAAGATTTGAAGCAATAATTCGGCCATTTTGAAGCAATAATTCGGCAATAAGTCCTTTGGTATCTTTTATGCTAAGCTGTAGACAGTGGTGTGTTGTGGGTCTACTGATGGACGCACCATGCTGTATTACCTCTGAAAATTATGTTGGTGCATAGGGATGTAAATAGTCAAGCTCATGCCACTTTTAGTTTAAACTTATGCTTCATTCATTAATTAATTAAAGAGAAAAAATTGGTTTAAGTTAAAAATATAACCAAATAATAAACAGAATGGGTATTTAAGGGGTAAATAATAATAATAATAATAATAATTTGAGTATATTTTATATTATTTTCTGGATGTGTTTGTTCATGAACTAAAGTCAAAGAACAGCTTGAGATTGGTTTGTTAGTTCATTGAGCTAAGTTGGTCTATTATTTATAAGTCAAGCTGGCTCAATTACCACCAATGATGACTTATATGCACTATGACTAGATTTGTGGTCGCAGCTTTTGTGATCATAGTGATGATTAATTGCACAGCTCAGAAACTGTTTGTGTTTGAAAAGTTGAAGTATTTGAGGTATAATGTAAAATAAAATTCTATATTAGTAATATTTTATTGATATTTAATTTTTTGTGAAAAAAAATATTTATTATTATTTTTTTTTTTTTTCAAGACAAGTGGCCCTCTTAAGTATTTGGATCAACATTCTCAACGTCTAAATTTGCAAATATATCTACCAAATATTGGCAAGGGGTCCAATTATTCAAAGAGACACTAAGCTTTAAGTTAAGAGCTTATCATGCCACCGCACCAAGATAGGTGCGGTGTGAAAGCCACCGCACCAAGATAGGTGCGGTGTGAAATCATTGTTTTCAACATTTTAAAAACGCATAAGCTGTCAAAACATAGTTTACCCAAATATGCTAGGTGTGTTTTTAAAACTCCACTGCACTAAATAAGCTGCCTCAAACGGGCCCTAAGTTTCATATTTTCAATGTATTTGAAATTCGCCCAAACATATTAATATTAAACACAAAAAATTGTAAAAGATTTTACATTTGATTTTCTTCACAAATGAAATGTTAGCAAAGAACCGGTCCTTCAATAAACAATAATCATAATCTTGTATTTCAATGTCAAAGTAGTATTGTATTGGATTATACTTGAGTAATTCTATGCTTTGAAATATGAAAATTGAGCTCAATTAAAACTTGGTTTTCAGTTCTTGAAGTTTCTCAATCAAGAACTTGTGTTTGAGACTCACAACTATATTAAAACCATTGCTTTATGGGATGAATTTTGAGTCAAGTGCATTAATTATATATAATTTGAATGCTGTAAATTCTTGATAAAAATAGTAGTAATATCTTCTAATACGCCTATTATGTATATCAAAATTAGTTGGATTGGCTTACAACAATGATAAATTATTATTCTCATTTGAAGAATTTAAAGCAATCAAATAAAGGTTTTTGTACGCACAGCCCTATTGACTGTCATTGTGTCAAAGTAATGTAATGCAAGTATTTTTTTTTCAGGATCTATTTAATCCAAAATTTATGCATTAATTGCCTTAGGATATTACTTCATGCCCTTTTTAAACCTGGGTTATCATACACATGTCAGGTGGCAGATTGTATGACATAACAATCACAGGCCAACAAGGGTAGGGTGATGCGATCAGACTATACGATGTGAAGTTATTTGGGCATAAACCAAGTTGTATGTTATGTGCCTCCGCAGCGAACTCAGGATATCAACGATCAAAATATTTCCATGCCACTTCATCTGCTAGATGACACAATGAGTTGTTTTCTTCAGATCTGCTCTGATGCAACGTCATATGTGGAGGAGTATGCATTGAACTGTATTGTCTTTGTAGATGTGGAATAAAATGTAGATAAAAAAGCTGTTTGAACGAAACTTCCTTCTTTATCTTACTTTTTTTGCTATGAGGTTTGAATCTAGGAAAATTACAAAACTGTGTTGTCTCCATCACACTACTCTTGTAATATAACATGCATCCGTTTCCACGTCAATTAATCTTCTCTACTTTAAGCTCTAACTTGGAGATTGAATTTTTTCGTCATGTATAAATCTTCAGGGACTAAATTTTTAGGTGAATTGGTCTCGTTCGATAAGATTTCAAACTGATTGAATTTTTGGATCTAATATTATCTGTCACAATAGCTACACCAAACCTTGCACGAGTATATTTCTTTCTCATTTTATTCTCCAAATGAAAAGCCAATCATTAATCTAAGTATTCTCCTCTCTGCAAACCCCATACACGATTGATTGCACACCTGAAAATTTGTTCTCAGAAGAAAATATTTTATATGATATAAGAGTTTTCACTGCATCATATAATGCGAAGTCTAATTTTCATCATCAGAATAAGAATTCATTTCAAAATCTACGTTGTCAATTATGAAATAGAAATTTACCTTGAAATCTAATTTGTATTGCCAAAATGGGAATTGCAACAATGAAATTTAGATTTTAATGTAATATTTCATCTTGGAACTGACAAATTAGATTTTGAAGTGAATTTTCATTATAGCTATGGAAATTAGACTTCACAAAGGAGGAAATAGTGAATAGTCTTTACATCATATGAAATATCTTCTTTTAAGAAAATAATTACACGTGTGCACTCAATCACATAGGAACTGCGGGGAGAGGAATGCTTAGTTCTATGATTGGCTTTACAGCGAAAAAAATATGAAACAAATGTACTCGTGATAGGGTTGGAGTAGCTACAGTTGCTTGCAATATTAGAAACATCAGAAAGTCTAAATAAATTGTCAGAATTATTTTTTTTGTTAATACGAAACAATAATTGTCACTCAAAAATTGATTGCTTTTAATTTGGACTCAATTTTTTTAAAAACCAACAACAGTTAAGCTCAAAATCAGAACATTAACAATCTACTAAGATTGTTGGCTTTTGAAGATCGTTAATTGACGAACATTTATCTATATTTTATCTCTAATCTTATTTATCATTATAGTTACACCTACTCTTTCGCGAGTAAATTTCTTTCACATTTTCTCTATAAATGTAAACCCAATGATCCACCAAAGTATTCTTGTCCCAACTAAGTCTCTTACTAAATTACTTTTATACCTTTAAATAACTCATGAGAAGGAAGTTTTTCATATGATGTAGCATTGTCAAAATGGAAATTAGATTTCCCATTGGAAAAAGAAATAAAAAACTTTTACATCATATGAAATACTTCATTCTCAGAATCTGTTTAATGGTAGGTAAGAAATCTAGTTAAAAGTTGCGGATACAAAAATGCTTGGGTTTATGATTGGATTTTCACTTGGAGACAAAATATAAAAACAAATATACCTGTGAGAAGGTTGGTGTACCTATAGTGGCATACACTATTATAGAGAGACATCTTAATTAATTGCGTGTCAATATTCGACCATTTAATGATCTTCGACAGAACTAACATTACTAAGATGTTAAACGAATCAACTTCAAGCAGAGATGAAGTAAGTTCTAAATAAATTCGATCCAAAATTTTGGCTCGTACCACAAAGTGTTTATTTCAATCAAGTTTCATGTGCAAGACAAAATTAGAATAAATTTCCGAGTGAATATTATTTTTCGAACTAAATCCTATTTCATATTTGGCTCGTACCTCAGGATTTGATAATTCCGGATTTGCATGATTTATTAAAACATATTCAAACTAAATTTTGTTTTCAACGGAACATCCCCTTAATCTGAATACCAATATTCTGTGTCATAGAACATTGCAGGTCTCACCATCATCTTATAAAATTTGTCTTTAAGTATAAGCAGTATTTTCTATCACACAATAGGTTGGATGCATTCCTCCACTTCAACTAACCAACTTGAAATCTAACAACAGTATTGCGAGGATTCGACAACGCGTGATGGTTTTGGATGAAACAGAGAAGGGTGGAGGGGCATGTGAGGGTTTTGGGGAGAGGAGATGGCTTCAAGTAGAGAGGAGTGAAGGGGAGAGGCGATTAGGGCAGGAGGGGGAGGACCTCGATTTTGGCGGTATAATAGACTATATCCAATAGCTATACTTTCAAATCCGTCGGTTCTTAATACTATTACTAATGTCAATTTTTGTCGTTTATTATAAAAACACGCCAATTAATACCCCGCCAGATGACGGTTTGAAGATAATCGACGATAAATGGATGTTAGTTAATATACATTTCTAACTGACAGCTTATTGCGCTGGTAATACTAAAATCCGTCAGAAAAATATTGATATTAATAAACGACATAAATTTTGTAGATATGTCGTCACAAATAACCCAAACATAAAACATCGCTAGACCATCGACAATTTACTTCATGACCAGTGAATAAAACTATCGCTTAGCATAATGCGTCGGTAATGGTTAAAACTGTAGAAAAAATTTTACTGTTTATAAGCGGCAACATATCCTGTTGTTAAGCCGTCACAAATAACCCAAATCATAAATCATCGCTACAACGTCCGAAAATGGAACGTTTCTGGTGACACAAAGGTATGGCATCGATTTTAGTGTATTTTCCTATAGTATCTTAAAAAATTTGAAGGTTTTAGGGCTTATATAATTTAAAGAATTAAATGACTACAGTTGATCGATTTAATTGTTCTCTTAAAATTAGTTTATTGAGCATAAGATAGTGATCTGATGATTGAATATTTCTCCTATACTGAGAGCTTTCATTCTTAAAACTAACACCCAAAAGATCAATGTTATTTGCTACAGGTGGAGCTACAGGCTGCAGAGCTCTGTAATAGTTATTATTAATACATTTCATATATATTGGGGCATTTACATATGTACATGATGAGTATTATGCAATTACATGTCTAACACTTAAAGCATTCATATTTACATGCATACCACTTAATTACTTAACAACACATCAACAATATCACTATCATTATCTTTTAAAAATAAAATGCACATTTTTATGCATAAGTAATATAAGTGCAAATATCAAATTTTAAATGTTAGATTATTTGGGATATTTACATGCATACCTCACAATTCTTATGTATTTGCATATCTAATACCTAAAGTTTCATAATTACATTTATAATATTTTTCTGTAGTAAACCTTGTTATGTTGTGAAGCCTGAAGCACCCACAAGAGCAGGGAGTTTTTCCGTGTGCCGCACCTGTGCCCACCCTTGCGCCTGCAGCACCCAAGCGACGAATTCAGGGTGCCCCTAAGACCGGTTATATAGGGCAAGATATGCCCTCGTCAAGGAGTGGCGCGAGCACACCAGGTGTTGTTGGCTCTTCGATTCGACTTAAAACCTTTGTTATGAGTGACAAAGTGCGAATCTCTCTCACCTGTGTTTCTTCAATGAGGTTTCCGTGAAGTGAAGAAAGGTCAAAGAGGAGGATTTCAGCATGTGTTCCTCTTGTGCGATCGAGATGAAGGATTTGGAGCGAGTCCTATAAGTTCCATTCATTGTAGAGAGGAGATCTAAAGTGACTATTATGTGCATTTCTTAATTTCATAGTAAACATTTTTGGTGAGTGTGCCAAATGCGGTTGACTCTCTTATTCGGTTTAGAACTTTTGTTTTGATGGACGAAATGCAAATCTCTCTCACGTGCATTTTTTCGAAGAGGTTTCCGTGAAGTGAAGATGAGTCGAAGAGGAGGATTTCAATGTGCATTCCTCTTTTGGGATCAAGTCGAAGGATTTGGAGCGAAGACTTGTTAGTTTCATTCATTGTAGAGAGGAAATCTAAACGAGTATACTATAAATTTTTAAATTTCATAGTGGAAATTTATTTGCGGCGTGGTTTGATGGTTTTTTTCCTTTCAATTCTCAATTTTTTGACATTAAATCCTGATGTGTTTCCCCTATTTATCTTTATCGTGCTTCTGTTCAAATACTTTTGTTCAGATTTTCTAAAGTGTGTACGATCTTATTCCGTGACGTGATTTTGATTTCTAATTAATTGAAACCCTAACATAAGTAATATGATTTTCCATCCCCAACAAACCCTATTCATGAAAAAAAATGTCTTTAGCTACTTAAAAGTAGGTAAAAGTGATATTCTGATGTGATATTAAGATTTTTATAAATATTATGATCTGAATGGCAGATATGTAAATACATGTACAAGAATTGTTTGCTTTGTATGTAAATGCCCTTCAATGAAATTCTAATACTAGATATGTAAATTGAATTCAGTCATCAAAGTAGGAAATAAATAAATTTGAATATTTTTAAAATTGTTAATATTAAATCAAATAAATTATATTTAGTTTGATGAGTTTATTGATGATTACAAAGAGGCTTATTTGTTAATCAATGATTTCCTTGTTAATTAAAAGGCTTCATATTAAGTTTGGTGATAATTAGTATATTATTTAATGAACAGTATATTTAGACATAATATATTATATGTCTATTTATTCGTTTGAATTACTTTTTAAAATTTTAATCACTTAATTTCACAATTTGCTTTTAATTATATCATTTATAACTTTCTATTAGTCTACCATAGTAGCTGTTCAATGAGATCATGACTTGTGAGAGTGTGTCAATGTAGAGAAATATTTGCGTATGTAACACACACGCAACTCTACGTGCGTCATACATTAACCCCATAATAACCTACGAATAACATCAAAATAGAGCCCACAAAGGTTATTGGAAGGTTATTAGGACTATAGGTTATTGGAATTAATACTTAAATAACCTCCCAATAACCCCATAACCATAGTCCTAATAACCTTCCAGTTATTTGCGTTATTGTAACACACACGAAGTGCAGGTTATTGCGGGGTTATTACGCAAGCAGCTATGTGTGTGTGTTACGTACACAAATATTTCCCGCCAATATGAGGTGAGTATACTTTCTATTCTTCTCATTCCAAACCATGAATTTTAAGAAGTTTAATAGAGGTCATTCAACAAAATTTTAAAATTTTACAACTTTCGGTACTCTCTTTGATTTCCGATACATTAAGATAATTATTTTCTTCTCTCCCCAAAATTAGCCCAAATATTTATCTCCAAAATCTAGGCCCATTATTCAAGCCAAACAACTAATGTTAATCCTTTCATTTTGTATAACACAATTTTATAATTCATCTATTTTGCTTCATGATTCAATCCATATTTAATATATCTTGCCAATATTAATTTGCCTATTTTACTGATTAACATCTATATTGCACTATGTAAACTAGGCATTCCCTTAACATTAGATTAAATGATTGAAATGACAGCTATCTTTGTTGAGTATTGTGGAGTCTGGTCCACTTCCTTGAATTGGCAATCTCGACACATACAAAAATTTTTGAATTTCCTGTATTACTTCCCGTGTTAATCCCCGTTCGCCTGACTTTTCTTTCTTAGTCTCTCTCTGTCCCGCTCGATTGATTCCTCCACATTTCGCGAACTTCCTTTGCAAGCAATGTGTGAGACATGTTAGCTTAGAACTCATCTTTATACATGAAAAGTTGCTTCTTGGTAATAAAAATGATACAATTTGCTATGTATTGACAAGTAATGTGTGGCATCATATCAATAAGTTTAACATAATAATCCATAAGTAATTTATTATATCATTATGGCCATATGTATGATTACTTATAAGCAATGCATTCAGCATTTTTTTTTGGAATATTTACATGCATACCCGAGGAAAAAATTTAATGATTTGCGGGCAAATATATAAGATTTGGGAGTGAGATATGTAAATATAGAAAAAATGAGGAGTTTGAATGTGAATTTGGTCATGGAATGGGACTGCCCTTCCCCCATCCAGTTGGATTCCATCTGCATCAAATCAACAGAGCTTTTCAAAGTTCATAATGGATATAAGAACAAGAACAGGCTGTAGCAGCAGCCTGTCTTCTCAATAATTCCTCTGCATGCAGCATTCCTCCTCTCCCGTAAATCAAATCAAACCAATTTTATTATTAAAATAAATTTTTAATTTTTATATTAAAATGATTTTTTTTTATTTTAAAATATATTATTTTTTAAGATATTTTGTTCGGAATTTACTGCCTATTTTTTCTTCATTTAGCTTCATTTAGCTATTTAATTACAATTTTATTATTTAATAATCTATAGTTTGAAGTGACTTGATGAGATTTATTTTCTTTATCTTATTTGATTCAATTGTGCATAAATAAGATGTAGATGTTGATTAAAGCTGTCGCCTATTATTTGATTGACTAAATACATTATATATGTATAACACACAGGTGTCCCGCTATCAAAAGGGCACGTGCTAGTGAGAAAATATTGTGTGCAGCTAATATGTGTGGATTGATAGTATTTGCAATACCACCATAATATCACCAAAATACTATCAGACTAACACGTATGGTACTACTCTGGAGGTATTTATGATGATATTATACCACAATGCCACCAAAATACCACTAATCTGCAACGTATGTGTCCTAATACAATTTTTCCTCCGTGCTAGCAGATCAACCTCGTTCAAGCAGGACAGAAAAGTCTGGAGAACGAAGAGCCGAGTGGCGAGGATCGAACAGAAAACAATCGAACTACTAGCTAGAGGCTAACCCATTAGACGATTAATGGACCAACGGGCCAACCAAACCGATCAATGACTGCTCAGAAGGCAGTAGACGCGGAGAAAATTTGTCAAGAATGCGCGCTGTCAAATGAATCGTCCAAGTCCGACTATTAAAGACCAACCAACAATTTACAAATAATTTAAGTTTTCTATATATAAATATATATGTAAATATAATAAGGGAGGATAGTGAATACAAAAGAATTCTAAGATATTTTCTATCCTTCCTACCTCCTACTCACTTCACCAATATCAACATGCAAATCACATTGATCCAAACAATTTGCAAAATTACATAAATTCAAAAAAAAAAAAAAAAAGATCAATATTAATTTTCATTTGGTCAAATGTTGGCTTAAAAATAATGAAAGTATATCAACATGCAAATCACATTGATCCAAACAATTTACAAAATTACATAAATTCAAAAAAAAAAAAAGATCAATATTAATTTGGTTAAAAGTTGGCTTAAAAATAATGAAAGCCAACAACTACCATTATGCATAACATTGATGACAAAAAAAGTGAATAGAATTATCAACTATGTTCATTTCATTAGTTGAGTCAAAAACCAGATTAGGATTTTAATAAATATAGCAATTTAATCATATTCAACAGATAATAAATAAATAAATAAATAAATTATAATTCTGATAAAAATATATATTTTACTAAACAATGATGGAAGCAGATGGTCATTGGGCCAACACTCATTTGTAGTCATTAATATGGGTTGCAATAGCCAGACTGGCAAGTAGTTGGGTAGGTCCTACAAGGGTTCACAAGAGCACCACCCCAACTGTTCCTATTAAAAATAAAAAAAATCAAAACATCAAACTTGTCCACAAGACAATTGTGCAAAACAGCATACATATTAAATGTAATATAAAATTCCAGAATAGGTCCCACCCTTCAGCTGTATCCAGTTGTGCTGAGGGGGCTCCTCTTCTTATTTTTTCGTAAAAACTTTTTAAAGATATATGTATTTACATATCTAACATTTAAATTTTATAATTTTATGTATAAAACATAAAGAAATGCAGTCTGAAAAGGAAGCATCAGAAGCCAGAAACAGGAGAACAAACAACATGTAAAGAAATTTGAAGAAAGAAATGAACATAATAAGCATGATACAAGTAGTAGCAGAGTTTACTTTCTGAAACAAATACAAAACAGCAGCACTATTATTACAGTGGAGGAAGACAAGATAGAAGGCCTACATCGCTTTCTCTTCTCCCCATCAAAACTCTCCTCCTCCCACCAACTCCTCCATTTTTTTTTTTTTCTACTTTTTAACACACAAAAGTTGCTGCTTATCGACGCATCACTAAGTGGGACTAAAATCAACAATAGGCATTCAAGACCTCAGCACTATATATATGTCCAGGTGAATAAATATAGCAGCTCCTATTAGGTCCTGCTGCCTTTATTTCAAAGAATTTAATGCAGAGATGATCAACTGCGGTAGTACATGAATCATGCCGACCACCTCATTTAGTTCTCTCATGTCTCCTCCAAACTAATAAAGAATCAAACGAAGCACCGCCACCGATAGCCACCTAACTCCCAGCAAACAAAACTACACAGAAACGGGTGAGCCCGCTCGCTAGTTCCGGTTAACCAGATCAATGAGTCGGACTCGCCCTTAAAGAACAAAGACTAAAGACAAAAATTGCAACATTGCCCGTGTTTTCTATCTACACATTAACACAATAATTTCATCACAGTTTTCAGCTCAGTTGCAGTCTAACCCACACTCCTCTAGAACCGGGCCATCGGATTTGGGCAGGAACGGATCAATCCTCACCCAAAGGAGCGAAAAGATCGAAGCCAGGAGAATGGACCACACGATGATGATGGTCGGCGTTCTGTTCTGCCGGCCGACTAGACCTTTCAGGAAGGGATAGAGATGTACGATCACCCAGAATGCGAAGAAAAGGCGGCCAAATAGAGGTCCCCAAGACTCGTATCCATTGTTGATGGCATTGGAGACCCCGGCAACCACACCAATCATGTTTATCACGAGCAATGTCGTCGGAGGGATCAGGAGTGTGGTCCACTTGAATGTGTAGAGCTCCGAGAAGTCCTCGTCGTCCCCAGCTTTTGATGTCACGGTGAAGTTCGTATCTATACCAGCTAGAACCTTAAGAAGACCCTGAAACACTGCAAATAAATGAGAGGAAACGCCCCCAATGACCCAAAACTGCTCGTTTCTCCACCAATCCGCCATGCCTATGCCACTCCATCTCATCTCAAGAATGCTCGTTGCGAAAATGCTGATGAAGAGAGAGATAAACCATAAGCTGGCTACATTGTTCAGCTGCGAACAAGAGGGTTATAAAGTCAAAATAAACATTATTAAACCAAGAATTTTTGACAAAGTTGTTGGTATCATACCTCTGGAGTGATAAATTTCCCAGTAAGCAAGCACACAGCAGGCAAGGAGCAGTAAGCAAGAAGAGGAATGGATGTAAATGGATAAACAGTGGCATTTATGTACGAAAACCGCTCGAGCCATTTGAGCCCTCCACCATATCCGTACCATAATGGACAATGTCTGCTCAAGAAAATTTCTACGGAACCAAGAGCCCATCTCAGCACTTGGTGTAGACGATCAGAGAGATTGAGAGGCGCAGATCCTTTAAAGGCGGGCCTGGAAGGTATGCAATAGATTGAGCGCCAGCCATGACAATGCATCTTAAATCCTGTCAAGATATCTTCTGTGACAGAACCATAGATCCAACCAACCTATAAGAAAAGAGAAATTTTTGTCACAATGCTCCATGAACAAAGGAGAAGTTCTGAGAAGAAAGAAGATGTGAATCCGAACCTCTTTTCCCCAGTCTGATTTGTCTTCATATCCACAACTAATAACATGAATGGCTTCCTTTAACAAAGATGCTGGAGAAGCATTTTTCAGTGTTCCTCCATTCTCTAATAGAGTAGAAGCAACAAAAACCGGAGATTGGCCAAACTTCTTCTCTAACTTCCCTGTCATATTGGTTGATTTTTCGCTCTCAACTCCTGTATAGTTTTTTAAAAAGATTTAGCTAAAATGAGAAAGAAATAACAAAAGTTCATATGTTTCTGCAGCATTCTGGTAGTCTTTTAGGATGATTTATCATTTGGCCAATTACTCGAAAACCAAAAGAGGGTCAAACAATAAAGATATATGCAAAAACAGGAAAATGAAGTGATATTCAAAAACAGTAAAAAAATTGCACGAAAAAAACTTACAGCCCTTATTAGAGATTTCCAAAAATTATGCCTAAATGTAAATAAAAGCTATGGATCTTTTAACTTCAAAATTTCAGTTTATAAAGTAAATAGGGAGATTTACCTTCAATGCCCTCTTCTATACCCTCCAAAGCAAAAACGGGTGCTCCATTATCTAGTCTCCTTAAATTTTTTACATTCTTTTCATGCTTTGTTTTGACATTCTTCTTCTTCTTTGTCCTCCCGGAACAGCAGCAGCAACAGCAGCACCACTTTGGCAAACAGTTGCAAGTCCTTGTGGGTGGCTTCTTTACTTTGGGGACATCAAAACCATATAGTGCTTGCCTCCGGAACACGCAGCCAGTTCCAACATAAATTGGCCCTTGAATCCCATCAAGACCTTTCATGTTGATCTACAGCAAAGGACATGGAGTCAGCATTTCATAGATCCAGCTTGCAAGGCATGTTAAAAAAAACAAATTTTTCCATGGAAATTTGCAGGCTTACATCAAAGAACACGATGTTCCGATTAGCATATCGATCGTGCCGATCAATGCCATCAAACCTCTGGGGAAATTGTACATAGCACACTCTCTTTCCAACCAGCGGATCCATCATAAAGCACATTGCTTCTCTTATTGCTTTGCTATTGTTGAAGTAGTGGTCACAATCCAAGTTCAACAAATATGGAGCATTTGTAAGGACAGCAGATACTCTAACCTGATACAAATATCAACAAGCAGAAGTTAAATTGCTGCACCAGAGATCTGCTATTTTATTAGTGAACAAACTTCCATGTAAATTCTTTACCAAAGCATTCATAGCACCAGCCTTCTTGTGATGAGTGAATCCAGGCCTCTTCTCTCTTGAAACATAAACCAAACGCGGTAGCTCATTTCCATCCATGTCATGGCCGCCACTTTGGCCCAGAAAAACCTAAGAGTACAGAAAACAGTGAAACTTATTTGTTAACAGCACAATAGAAAAAGGAAAATCAAGCTTTTAGAATACATACAAGTTTGGAATATTAAGAGTTCATACCTGAATCATTCCAGGGTGATCACGAATATTATTTCCAGGCCATGGAGTACCATCCTGCATCGTCCAACCCTCCTCGGGAACCTTTTGCGCTTTGGCAACCAAAGCATTGATCCGGACTTTAAATTCCTCGTACTCCCTCTGTAAAATACATCATATTTAAGTCTCACAAGAAGTAAAAGATAAATTTCTGCAACATTAATTGCAGAGATCCAACGAGAAACATTTCATCACCTTCATTGCTCTCCTCTCCTTTACAAATGATGGCAAGACTTTATCCTTCAAATAATCAATCTTTTGTTGGAAATACCATTCTGGTGCCCTCGGCTCAATATTAAACTTTTTGCAAAATGGAACCCATTTTTTTGCAAACTCAGACGTCTCTGATAATGCTTCGAATGTAAGCATCGCCGCACCATCATCAGAAACATAGCACGAAACTTTGTCAACCGGGTAATCCACCGCAAGGATAGAAAGGACCGTGTTTGCTGTAACCAAAGGAGGTTCCTTCATAGGATCAACAGTGCTGACAAAAATGTCGATTGGAGCTAGTTGAGAAGGTTGACCCTCTTTCTCATACCTGAAATTACAGTAAAAGATTCAGTGGGTTGGATGATTCAAACTCACGAAGAGTAAACGAATTCAATGGAGGCCAGTTTTATTAACCTTAATGACAATCTGTCAAGGTAGGTCTCCCTCTCAATTGGAAGCCATTTTGGGAATTGATCAAGAATCCATGAAACAGCAAACCAAATTTCACATATTACAGATATGAGCCACAAAGCATATGCGTCAGGCACAGGATGAGTAACCCGGTAATGAAAGAAAAATCCAACAATTACTAGCCGAATTATGATGATCATTCGGTATGGGTTGATTTGGCTAGAAGAAATAGGAAGCTTCCTCGATAGTGGTTGTCTAGCTTCATCCATTCTGTCATGAGTTGAATTAAGAAGTTATTTAGTTAGGAAGAAGAAAAGGAGCTGAAACAATTTATAACATTGGTAAATTTACATATTAAACGAAACTATTCTAATTCCTAACGAGGAATTAAATAATGAGCATTTTATATTTATATCTATAAACTTCATTCCATCATGCAAGATATCACACATTTTTAATCTTCGCATATCTTCCTTGGATAAGACATGCAATCAATTTTCAATTCAATATCCTTTTAAAACTATGAACAAGGAATTTCTAATGAAATTATAGTTGAGGGAAGAAGCTATACACAATCCTAACAGAGACATTTGACAAAATGTCTTCAAAATAAAAAACTTCTCAATGCATCAAGGGAAAGGCGAATGCCAACAGACAAGATTCCTGAGGATTATTTATCATTTTTACAGCCTAAATGAGATTTTACTTCAAAGGTGCTTCTTCAACGCACCTGAATTAACAGCCATAATGGTTTAGTTCTATAATGGAGCCTTAAAAGAGTTTTGATGCTGTATAGTTCTCCAGTGTAAATCTAATTCAATAAATAGCACGCAAAGAAGTATTGTAACTAATTAAATTCAGTTATTAACAAGTACTGATTTGTAAGCATAATTGACCCAACTTTTCAAAGTATAACAAAGGTGCAGGGTCTTACAATGGCAAATCTGGCCCATCACCATCATTATCCCAATCCTTGCCGCCATTTTCATTTCGAGACGGATGCAGTTTCTCTTGTTTCTGCTTCCAATTCTCCATTCTCTCCTTCCAAGCTACACTTCCATAACCATAAGCAGCGAGGTCCTTGGAAGGATCCATGGATCTTGGTTGCACTGCAAGGAAAGAATGTTACCAAAATTTCCTCAACCCAAGGAGAAAGTTTAATTGTTAAAATTTTCAACCTATAAGAAAGAAAGTTTCAAAAAGCAAAACTAAATAAATAAAAAATAAAAAATAAACGTTTAAACAATTTAACAACTAATGAAAGTTGAGATCAATATACCAGGAAGATTGAGATCTGAAAATGGGAGAGGATGGATCCTCTTCCCTCCACCACCCATGAAGGAAGGAACAAGAGCGTGCTGTTCAGGAGGGATATCATCAACCTGCAGTTCAACAAATACATCCAATGAGAGCAAGAAAATCAAATAAATCCCTACTAGAACAGATTTTTTCCACTATTTTCCACACTTCTGCACAATTAGCATTTTTCACTTCCCATAGCCCAAAAGCAGCATAAAAATAGATTACAGTGATTCAAGAACGTAAAAAAGTGAGAGTCAAGGCAAAGTACCATTTGGCCATTGGTGAGCAAAGGAACCATAGGCATTGTATGAAAAACTTGAGGAAATTCCGAATCTCCTCGGCCATAGCTCATGTGTCCCTGCAGCATTGACTCAGCAATATACTGCCCGTCCTCCCTATTCCTTCCCACAAAATTGAACTCATTCTCAAGATCATCCACGCCATCTTCTTCCTCGTCTCCAGCAACTCGAGCACAACCTGCTCATTCATAATAGAATTAAAAATATATTCAATTATCGCTATGAAACGACTAAGAGAAGTGAGAATGACAAGAAACCCTACCCTTGAGACGTTTGAACCTGGTTTTGCACTGAGGACACACCTGGTTACCTTCCCTGCGCTCATACTCATAGCAAGTGCGGCAAATCGGGAAAGCGCACTCATTGCAGGCCACAAAGAGCTCCCCATCGACGGTAAGCCCGACATCGTCCCCGCAAATCTGGCAGATCTGACCACTCAACTGCTGCAAAGGCTTCGGCTGCAAGAAGATTACAAGAATCAAAATCAATTCCAGTCAACGTTGCAAGAAGAATATCTGAGCAACCATTTGATTCGGCCATGAAATGCCGCTTAGCGTTACTTACTCCTGGCTCCCCCTCGCGGCGGATTACGACAAGCTCATTTCTATTGTGAGAACCGGCGACGAGACCTGCACTGGCCTCCATCTTCTTCTCCTTGAGATATTTCGTCGATAATATCACTCGAAAAAGGAACTTCTCCCGGATCTACAGATTACCACTGAAACCTAGCTCCAAAAAAATCCGATTTTTCGACGATTTGATAAAGAATGCAAATCCCTAATGGTTGATCAAAGCTAAAACTTGATCATGTCTTGGAGCTTCCCCATCTGAGAGAGTCAGATAAGCGGCGCTGGGGAAAAGCCCTCGGTGATAAGGCAGGAGGTCCTGTACCCTCCCCTCACCCTCCTCTTCTTATTCCTTGCTTGCTGCCTACCGCAGCACCGTAGGGGAGGAAATAAAAATATATTTAGAAATTAAAAAAAAAACTTTAGTTTTTAAATAAAAAAAAAATATTTTTTTAAAACCCTAATAATGAATTTTGGAGTATTGCATTTGCACCACTAACTGATAATTTTATTTTATGTGCGGATTGTGTTATTTTATACAAATTCTGCTAGATTATTAAGACTATACCAACCCTAATAATCTGAAAGGGTTGCTTCAAAACCTAATATTTTAATTAGGATTTTTTTTTTTTGAAAAGTTTAATTAAAATCTAAAATTCTTTTTAAGCCGATTAGAAAATTCTTGATAAGTCAAAGATTTTCATTTTCTTTTAAATTTAAAAAAGTTATTATTATTATTATGAAAATAAGATTTGGACGAAATAATAATATAATAATGTATTTTATTGATAGAATCACATACCTCATATCTCACTATAAAAAGATTAAGTTTTATTTTTAAGAGAATTAAGGTTTCTTTTGGGGCAATTTATTTGGTGTGGTGCGTTTTGAAAACACACTTAAGCCCATTTAGTTAAACTGTGTTTTGATAACCTTTTCAAAAAGCTACATTTTCACACTGCTTCTTGTTATGTATGGTGACATATTTCTAGCAGCTGCAGTCTGATTTCTCAAAAAAAAATTATAATAACCACCATAACTTTTTGAACAGCTGATTACCCTAAGATTCTTGAGATATGCCTAAAATTAATCTATCAAGAAAATATTTATTTGATCATGTATAAATAGGGTGAAAAATTAATAGAGAACATAAGTTTGTCATTAAAAGAATTATTACCGTGGGATGCTATTTTCGGTAGATTTATTTTTTTTTTCCATTTCATAGCCAATCATTTATTATTGATATACAATTTGAAAAATATTCAAATATTTTTTTAGGTTCAACATAAATTAAATGCCTTATTTGTATGATTGAATTATACATATCACAAAAAATCATGTGAGATTTTTATTCAATGAATTAAGCTTGTAATTAACTAAAATGTTAATAAAAACATTATATTATCATTCTTTTTCATCTCTCTAGATTTTTTTTTTGTGGTGTTGAATATAATAATATAAAAAAATTGAATTAATATTAATAAGTATTAGTATATTAATTATCAAATAATCGAACTATGTTCATTTTAATCATAATTACAAATTTAGACAAAAAATTACACCAAAGTTTCAAAAATTAAAAAAAGGGGAATAATATATATATATATATATAT